ACAGTTCCACACATTTAGGCATTTCCAATCAAAGGAGAGGCTTTTGTAACCTCACTGGGCAGCGAGTGTAAGGCGATTAGCAGTTGAAACTGCAACTACAGTGTGTTTGGCTCACATTTAGGATTGGCCTTGCACGCACCTGTACAGAGCTGTACAAGGAAACTTGAATGTCAGATGTGCATCAAGTTGTTTACGCAAAGGCCAACATTTGTGTAAATCCGTTTGTGGCTTAAGTGCTTTACAGTGTAATCCATGCATGGCCAAGTCTAAAATGTAAAAAGTAGATTTCCAGCTGCAACTTTTTAATATCAAATCACGGGAAAACTTCAGTGTTGTTCATTCCGGAGGCCATGTAAAGTGCAAGTCCATGCATGGAAGTGTGCACATGCATACTGTACGTATGGCATACATGTACCTGGGTATAGAGGCATGTGGAACTTTCTGATATTGTGTCAAAATGGGTGGCAGAATACCATTATTAATATTAATAACAGTCATAGTACTGCAGTTTCAAAGCGCTCTGTGAATCAAAAATCCCTCTGAGCGTTTCCAATTCAAAAGAAGTAGGTTTTTGCCTCAAAATGTACCTTTGCCCATTATTTTTCAAGAGGGCCTTACATGTACATGTTGTTTCATTTAGAATTGGTATAATTATTTGATGTTTTGACTCGATTTTGTACTCAAAGTTTGCAAGCCACAGGCAGATAAAAATTTGACAGTGGCATAAACACGTGCATACCATAGAGAGACAGAGATTCATACATATACATGCACATGCTATGTGTCTATCCTGAAGTTTTCTTTCTCAGGGAGTTTGGAATCATTGTTTTTGGATTATCAAACGAAGGGAAACCTACAGTTGTCGGAATTGTTAATCCAGATATTTCACATTTTCTCACAATCCACATTGGAAGGTTTGGGAGGATTTTATCGGCTTAACAGTTGTAATTCACGTGTGCATGTAAACTGCACCATGTAAAAATCCAGCCAGTACAAATACATGTACAAGCACTAATCGGTCAAGGCAGTTTTGATCCTGCAAAATTGATTGTTCATTGTGATGGATTTTACTTTTGTTAGGATGAGAAAGATTCCTCACAAAAGTGCCTTGAGCGGGGACAATAGGAGTTTGGCAATGAGGCTGATATTGTGGTTTCAGTATGTAACAGGCGGTATCAACTCATTAGACCGTTGCTCTGTGATCAGATAGGCAGGCCAGTTTATCAACAATGCATCAAATTTAATTCATGCCATCAGGTCAGAGTCTCTGGCAGTGTCCCCCTACTGGTAGGGGAGAAAGTCGCCACAGCAAACACTATGTGTACATGTACATGTAATAAGTGGAAAATTCACTCCGCTTTGGACCTGATTGCATGGTCTCTGAAAGCTAAAAAAAAGCCAGTCAAGTTGAACTACATGTACATGTCTGCAGTAATTTAAAACAGTGTCAGAATCCATACCAAGTTTTACCCCTTCTCTCACGTTCAGTGGGAAGGTTGTCTCACGTGGCCAACATGTATTTCCCAGTGCAGATAGCCTCTAAATAATTCCTTTACAATTGTTCAACTATCCCTTCCTCCAGTCTATGAAGGAGGGTACATGGTAATTTGAATGGATCACAAATTTATCTACGCCTACATTGCCAGAGAGGAAGGGGATTGTGATCTCTCCCCGTGGGAGTGTTTCTTTGTCTTCCGCCAGTGACCCCTTCAAGTGGCAGTAATGATGAGACCATTAAGGCCTGAACTATACAGGTGTCCACTTCGCTTGCCAGGACACGGCTTTATTGTGATTGACAACAACCGGAACTCAAGCAGGCGATGACAGAGGGAAATTTGGAATTACACCAAATTACTGACACCTTATCTGGGCCGATCATTGATCATGTACATATATTGTGTAATCATATCTGTGGAGAGGTGATAAGGGGATAAATTGCTGGTGACAGATTTCATTCCACTTCCCCCCCCCAACACACCCACACTGCTGTGATGTGTAAATTACAATGTGCTAGGTACCAGTACAGGTAGTGTGCTATGTATACAAGCACAGCTTTTAATGGTTGTTTTTGTGGTTAATTTCTTTTCAAGATTTTCACAACTTCACTGAGAATCAGTTCCCTTAATAAAAAGTCACGAATTTGCTTCCCTATAAAAAGTACAGGACCTCTTTGTGACAACTGAAGTGATTGATGGTTTCGTGGCAGAATCCATATTGCTTGGGGTTGATATGGCCACTGACCAGTGGTTGACCCCAGCCCTCTGAATAGAAACCACAAGAGATGTTGAGGAACCCCTTGTCAGAAAAATATGAAAACTCAGCATTGATTTCTCTTTTTTTTACAAATGTTTATTTGTCTATATACCCCCCCATTTCCCGAAAGTGGTTCCAGTTCCGGATGCGTTTCATTCTCCAATTGTGTCTGGCGGGTGCTGATGCCATGTGGACCCAATTTGAGTCAGAAACTGTCCCAAGAGAGGAACAGCAATGAAAGCAAATTAAATTGAACCTTTCCTTTTGTCCTGCACCCCGCCAGAAAAAAAAACCTGCACAAGAGAAGTGATTGTGCATTCTTTCACGTCCTCATAGTGCACGCAGTTGATTGGTAGTCAGTAGGGGCACCAAGTTGCAGCCCATGCACATTGCACATAGGTCAGGCCACTTGATAATGGTGGGGGAGTAGTTAGAGACATGTGGAGGATCTAGGAAGGGATTGAAGTGGATTGGCCTTGGTGGCTTGCAGTCTTGGTGTTGGATGCCATATAATGATCCTCGCTCAGCTCTTGAAATCCAGCAGAGACACTACCTGTCCATGTGGGTGGCTCTGTCAGTAGAAATGTAAGTCAGATTTTTTTTTTTGCTTTACCAGTACCTGTCCTTCATTGGTTATCTCCTTAATTGCAGTTTGTGGAGACATGTACCCTAGCTAGTGGACATTTGCCACTTCTGTGAGTCACTTGGGTTTTGGTTCTTTATCGGTGAGGAGTTTGCAGTGACACCCTCGTTGTCATCTGTGGTATGTCATAAGTGTCTTTCTTTTGTTTGCAATATTTAAGTTGACAAGTTGATCCACAGCAGCCGCTTAGTCCATCATTGAACTTGTTTTAACCGTCAAATTCTTGGCATAAAAAGTACCGATAGGCACCAGCACTTTGGACAATTTGTCAGGTTGTTGTTTAATCTGATCTCTGTGCATACATTACTACTAATAAAGATACATGTAATGTGCATGAAATTTGTGCTCATCCAAAATGGGGGGAACAGTCTGTTCGAGTTAACACAACTTTTGATGTTGACATTGCAGACTTAACAACACTTTTGGGGGGAGGGAGATGGTACTTTTATTGTAGCGGTACAGTACATGCATACATACATGTACATGTACATGTACATGTATAAACCAAATGTGTACATGTTTATGTAATGTACTTGTACATGTATGGACATTGACATCAGCAAATCTGGATTTCACATAAAGACTAGTGTTGAAAAATCTGAAGAGTCCAAGGTGAAATCTGTTTTTTTTGCTCGAAGCTTGTGTCCATTTTTGAATGTCAGCCTCCTTTTTGAGTTTTGGTCTTGCAAGCTGAGGGCTTCAAGTCCACTTGCTTCTGCCGTCACCACCATTGAAATCACACTGTTCACAGTGTGTATGCTTACATTACATGCAGTACAGTACATGTGTACATTACATAAACCCATTCAAAGTGTAAACAAGTACCAAGTGTAACAGTGCTTACAGAAATGGCCTGATCCCTGCTGGTATGTGTGTGGGCCTCTGCTGGTGAAAGCTGTTATGAAGGATGTTGTAATCTGGCTAGAATATATGTTTAGCCGCCCAGGAAGGAAGCCATTTGCCGCCAACTAGGGTACATATGGCCTGGATATCCGTTGTGCGTCCAAGCAAATGACCTAATTTTTAATAGACCTGTTGTAAACTGTGTAAACATGCAAACTGACCAAAGATGTTTTTGATATTGTTATGACAACATCCTTTTGCTGTTTACATATGGTCGACTGCTTGAACTACCGTATATGGATGTGGCACTGGAGAGATTCAAAGTTACATGTAGGCACAGCCTAGAATGCACTTTAACTCAAAAAGATAAAGTTTTGCCGTAACTGAAATCATCTTCATGTGGCCTTCGATGACAATGAGTTTTCCTGTCGAACAAGAGCAAGTCATAGAAATGCTTCAATGCAGGAAATGCCTGACTCGTCTGTCACAGTGAAATGGCCTTGATGAAGCGCAGGTCAATATGATGTCATACTTTTATAAGTTTCACATGAATTATGTGCCATTCTGAAGTAACGATTGTATGAAATTGCTGTATGCAAGATGTACAACATGACCTGATTGCCGCGTCATTAAGAACACGGGAAGACTGACAGAACTGTGTCTTCATGGATACTAGAGCAGTATAGCGCACACTGATAGATATGTGCAGGTACAGAATAAGGCTAGACACCAGCACTATCAGATCTAATGAGAAGGTTGTCGTTAAACAGGCCAGTGGATGTACATGTACGTCATTCAGGCCTTAGTTATCTCATCTGTGTGCGCACTTGTCACCCACAATAGACTCTGAATATGTGCGCCAAAGATATTAATGAGACTGAACTGTCATTCTTACAAATGTACAGTGTAATTCATTTCGTCAGTTTGAGACGGAATAAACGACATTTAATTTTTTTTTCTCTGGTGTTATCTTTCTGTTGTTCAGTGTGTGCACTTTTGATAATTTGTTGCGTATTGTATAATTGGCACTTCATTTCTCTCGTTTTTAGTTGCGAGAGTGTGTGCATTTTTTTAAGCACCAGTACATGCAGTCTTTGGTGCGTTGGAATTTTTTTTACTGAAAAGTGCTCTTGGGTAAAAATAAAGTAATGTAAAATTTGTTTTAAAATGATAAAAGTTATTGGTTGTTGGCCATGGCATTATCAGTCAGCAGTGAGTGATTTGATAATGAAAAGAACCTTTGTTTCCCCCCTTCTTGCAGATGCAGTTCTCTGTCTTCAGTCAACCATCCCTGTGTTGACTCATGACATTCAAAGGAATAAGGCATCATGGTTGCCAGCGGGTTGTCACTGATGTGCCTGTTCCATAAACTCCCCAACATGAACCTTGCCCCGTGGTTCCTACTCACCCAGCTGGTCGTCCTGGTGTCGGTTGGGGCTGTGTCCTACCAGCAGTTTGAAGAAATATCTGACCCGGACAACAGTGGTGTGACACTCCAGCGCATGACCCAGGATGAAACCACGGGTAGAGTCTACGTGGGCTCGGTGAACAGATTGTACCGACTGACGGGGGACCTGGCCTTGGAGATAGAAGTCTTCACAGGGCCAGTGGAAGACAATCCCAAGTGCGGACCTCCTTCGAGGCCCTGCTCCGAAGCAAAAGTGTCCACCAACAACATTAACAAAGCCTTGGTCGTGGATGTACAGCAGCGTCACTTGATCTCATGCGGACAGGTGTTTCAGGGACTATGCCAGATACGCAGATTGAGCAACCTGAGCACTGTGGAGGAGCCTGAAGATGAGGTTGTTACCAACACAGTGGGGGGTAGCAATCTAGCGTTCATTGCGCCCGGTGCTGATGGGAGTGTTCTGTATACAGCTGCATCACGCGGAGACTGGCTCAGACGCACAGTACCAACAGTGGCTAAGAGAACGCTGTACAGTTATACCGACTCTTCGACTATGAGGACGTACAAATCTCTGCAACCACTCGCTAGTAAACTAATTCCCCAGAACACATTAGAAGCATTGGATTCTTTCGACATTAACTACATCTATGGATTCTCCAGTGAGGGATTCAGCTACTTTATCGCCACTCAGATTGAAAACTTTGAGGACAGTGAGACTCCGCTGTACACAAAAGTAGTCAGTCTGTGTCAAACAGAAGTATTGGATTCAGTTTATTCATACATAGAGCTCCCTCTTGTTTGCAAGGATGCTGGCAATGTCACATATAACCTGGCCAAGTCGGCCTATGTCACCAAAGTGGGCTCTGATCTGTACGACACTGGGGTTCCCAGGGATGAGGATGTACTGTTTGTGACATTTTCATCAGACGGCCCTACGAGAAAGTCCGTCATATGCATGTATCCAGTGAGGAAGATAAATGAAGGGTTTTTACAAAGGAGAATTGATTGTGCTATGAAGAAGACGGACAATACTGAGATAGGATGGCTTGGAGCATCAGAATGTGCAGTCTCATCACAATATGTAAGAAAATGTGTACATGTGTGTACCAGGGTATTTTGCAATGCCCTGGAGGCCCTGACATGGAGCAATATTTTGAACAATTCAGGACTATGGCGGTACAGTGACCATATTCAAGGTCAACCCATGTTTTTACAGATTTCCTGGACCTGGTGTACGAACCAAATATACATGTGGCCTGGGAATGGAATCAGTACTTTGTAAATTATTCTACCTGTCAAAAACTCCTTTTTAGCATTTTTTCACTTTCTTGGTTTCCTTTTCAATATGCAGATTCAGACATTAAACAACATGGGCCCAAGCTATTGCCACAACACTGAATTCCAAACACCCCTTGGTGGGTTACACCCATCTATAGAGGCACAAGCAATCTACTCTACTAACAGTAGCATCGAGGCCGTGGCAGCATTACCCCACAATGGTGCAACTGTGATCCTGCTAGGAGACGAACGTGGCAACTTGACCAAGGTAAGGAAGAGAAGGGCTGCACCAGGAAATCAACCTGTGGGCTGGCAGAAGGCAATCCAAACAGCTATTACAGAGAAACCCAAGTTTTCAGTATTTTTTATTTAAAATGCTTGGTAAATTTCAGGCCTTGATATGGTTTATAATGCCTCTTGCTAGTTCTTGATGCTGGTTGGCCGAAATACAGTCGTTTGGGGTTGGCTGATGCATGTACATGTATGGGCTTGTGCATGGAATTTGCATCAGTGTGAACTAGACGCATGTCACAACATCGTAGTTGATGGGCCATAGAATTTTTGACTGGCCACAGCACCCTCGTATGATGTGAACTTGCAGTGGACAGTAAATTTAAAACTGAGTCTAGGGATTCATCCAATTGCCTCGCAATAAGTTAATTTTTGCAAGTACACTGTACCTGTATAAAACCTTCAAAAATTTTCTTTTGTGATTTATCTTTTCATTAAAGGGCTGTCATAGATCATCTATGGACTGGAATAATTCAGTCCCTCTTGTTCGTCCATATCCCCTCAGGCCTGTGAGTGGCCCGAAGAGGGTCCTATTTTCTGAGGCCAGGAAGAAAATGAAGAACCCTCTTCTGGTCACTAAGAGTCCCTCAGTGCAGAGACATACACGTACGCTAGTAACCTCCCTGCCGGCCCATTTGCATATTATGAATATTCTTCTCAGACGCTGGAGGAGAACCTGACTTGCATCTCTGAGTAAAGAAAAGTTGGACTGCTTGGAGAGCCCATACACAAGTCCCTTCTCAAGCCCTTTCCACAAGACACAGCAAGAGCACGAAGAGTGATAATTGATGCTTTTGTTGCAGCTTGTGACTTGGCTCCAGACTGGATGATTTGTAATGGACCTGATCGCAGCCCGACTTAAAACTATTACAAGAAAAAGGGGAAAAGCAGAAAAGAAAATATGTAACAGTTACTATAGGAAACCAGAAGAATGATGATCCGTGTTTTTTTTTCCGACTTCCTGTCTGAACATCCTCTGTTTTGACTGAAAACTTTAATAACCTTCCATGTTATCATACAGTGCAAGACTTGCATGGAGTTTATTTTTAAACACCCTAGAGCTGTGGTACAAATCTTCAAGAGAGATGGCCTTGTTTGAGAATTTTTCAACTCGGCACCTTCATGCACAAAATTTCTGTTTGTCAAGGACAGCACTCCTAGCAGGAATGCTTTTTGGAGAAAGATCCGCATAAAACTTGAAATTTGTCTAGAAACAAGAGGCCTTACATGTATATTGACACTTCCCTCGTATGGGGAAATTGAGTCAGAAACAAGGCGGCACATCGGAGTGTCTGGGATTTGCATTGATCCATTGTGGAATACCGTCTTGACTGTGATGTAATTGAGGTATTTATTCAGGGCAGACACTGGATATACGAGCACCGGTAGCATTGATGCTGCATTTACCTTCAGGTTTTAGCTTGACCAATCAGGGTGCAGCACATGTGTATTTCAATTCAATGTAACTTGATTATCCCATTAAAGGGAAATTCCTTTGGCCTTTTTACACACATAAAACGAATATTAAAAACACAAAATTTAAGAGTCAATAGTTGATAGCTTCGTGTACCTTACATAATAAAAAGCTGACTAATACTACACGATATAAAGAGAACATCATACCACACTAATACTACTTTTAAAATAAAGCGGGAAAAACAAACGTATCGTGATCCTTATTTAACAGAGAACAAGAACTGCAGAACAGCTACTCATTGGACCACTTGATAAGCTGATGGAACAAATGAGCCGCCATAACGTGCAGTTCTTATTCTCTGTTGCACCAGCCAGTTACTTCTCAGACTATGAATAAACCTATTATCTAACGGATGATGCCCATCTGCCATGATCAGAGCGATCTTATTGTGCACGTTCAACTCAAATAAATCCACCAACACTTGATTGTTGACAAAAAAGAGGAAAGAAAAAAAAAAAGAGACTTTATGGCTTAACAGTTTGTGATATGTCAGGAACCGGTCACGTTGTCAAATCTACAGACAGAATGCCTCTGCCCATCCTTTTGGATGACATACACTGCTGGCTTCTTCTTATACCATTTCCTTAATTAACTCCTGATTTCAGCTCCGTGTTCAGTCACCAACCAAGGCCCGCCTCTATGAGGAACTGTCCATCGTCAGTGGGAGCCGCATCATTCAAAATGGGCTGATGCTCACTCCAGACAAGCAGTACGTGTTCGTTATGACAGAGAGAATGGTGAGTACGCACACCCGAGCAAAATCGGAAGTTGGTAAAATCCGTCGTTGTTAATAGATTGCAAAAGTGAAAGTTTGGAAACAGTCCCGACAATATTATTGTTCCTTATTGGAGCCTACTGGTTTTTTGTTTCTGTGCATTGTTGTTCTGTTTTTTACCAGCAAAGGCTGATGGTTGTTAAAAGAAATGTGTAAAAAAAAGATCCCTTCCATTAGGTAATTTTGACTCGGCTACTGTGTACATTATTACGTGAAGGACCTACATGTATGTGTACATGTTACTTTGATACTTTCAACCAAATTTTTCTGTAGAATTTGCTTTCTGTTTTTCCAGTTTTTGAAATTCTTCCTTTGAAAGGAATGCTGCAGCATAGCTTTTATTTCCGGTGATCTTGCCCTTCTGAATGGATGAGCAAGGCTTATTCTAGTCATGTGCTTGAAGCGTGCTGGTATAGGAAGCAACCTTGGGGGTAAAATACGCACACCTCCATTCCCCTGCTGTCTTTTAACAGTTATTAAGGCATGAATAGCACTCGGAAATATTTTCAACGGCATTTTTTAACTTTCTGCCTCTCACCAAAGCAAGTCCATTATAGGCCAACACAAAACCGTTAGGTGACTCACTGCAGAGAAGTACTGTGGCCCTGCATTTCCTTCAAAAGCGCCTTTCATCGGCCGAGGGTCAAAGAAAATAGGAACTCAAAAGGAAAGAGCTTTTCATCTGAGCGACTTACCCGTGAGGGGTTTCCATTGAGAAAACCTGCCGGGGCGTGTCGCCTGCTGTATCGGCAAGGTTTGGGTTAGCTGTGCACCGGTGCTGGTCCAGCAGGGTGAATATGGTGGGAAAATACCTGGGTAGGATGAGGTCACCGGGGCTGTTCGGGATGTCGCAGTTCAAGCATAGGTAGATGTACGCACAAGCGCGTACGTTTAGATAGTGTCTGTAACGAGCTACCGAATTCACCAAAAGACCTCTTTTCTTCACAGCGGGCGTATCTTGATTTGGTTGGTCCCTGAAGGATATTCAGTTGATGACGTGTAGAAATAAAAAAATTGAAAGCAGTTTTTCCCCGAGGTACCAGCACTGTGCTGCTTGAAGGAAAGAAATTGTGAAAAAAGAAAAATTTACCTCCAGTATTCAGGCCTGTATAACTATATGTACATGTAAGTACATGTACATGTACCGATATTGGTGGGCAGGCCATTTTTACCGACAGTTTAAAGCTCATTTTCAAACCTTTTGTCAAAACTCAATCAACTGATCTGTGCAAATCTGTTGTCATTGTGATATTTATCTATTTCTACTCAGTGCAAGGTTCCGTCCATGGTCCAAAAACTTGTACCATTTTGCTTTGCCGATGGGGCATGCGAGTCTGTAGCCCAAATGAAAAGAAATTCCTTCAGCTTTTTGGGCCTTCCCTCGATTTCCCAACCCCAGTGATAGAATTTCCCATTTATTGATTCAGTGCTCGCCCTCGTAAACCTGTCCACGATCTCATGAAATTTGTTCCCCTCCAACCCGCCCTTCTCTGTTAGTTTAAAACCTGCCACCTGTTAGACTCAAAGGCGAGCATTCCAAAGTGCATGTTGAGACTTGTCAGTGGCTGGCTTACAACTTCTGTGAAGATGAATCAAACGACCTCTCAGGACCTCTCAGCATCGTGGGAAACAAAGATGGTAGACCTTTGTGGAGCAAATGTACATTTATGAACACAGTATAAAATCTTGGGAAAAAATGTGTGGAATGTTTTAGGTTGCCTGTTTTTTTGAAGGGTTGACTGTTTTCACTGCAGAAAGTTTTTCCCCCCAAAAGATTGCATTTATAGATAGCCCAACCACCATATTGGTTTATCATTTTAGACCTGGTTACAATTTAAAAGCTGGGTGTTTCTTTCTCGTCGAAAAGTGAGCTTGAAACACCAACTCAAATAGTCCACTTGAAACTTGACCAAAAGTAGAGCTCATAAAAACTGATAGGAAATTGGTGTCATCTTTATTACTTGACTGCAACACAGACACCTACATGATTTGAACACACCAAAACCATACATATGTATGTACATGTACGTACATCGAGCCTTGACATGTCATATCCGTTCCACATGAGCATTGTTGAAAATGTGAACACCATGCCATTTTTGAAGGTGTGCAGTGTACAAACGTAGATGTGTAAATTTAAACCTGATCTACATGTACCACTGTGATATGCTAGCTAAGCAGTGAGGTTATTTCAAAAAGTACCCCTGTATGGATCCATTCCAACCAGGAACAAAGGATGCTAAAAAAACAGAACTAGTATATTATTCATTTGAAATGTGAGCATTTCTGTAGCCCAGAAAAGACTTAAAACTGTCATCATGTTAGATAACAGTCAGATAAACAGATTTATTTTTTTTTACTACAAAGAGGATAGAGATTGGTTGATCCACCATAAGAGCCTCATGTCCATAGAGGAAATCCTTGTAAGCTGTGTATGTGGACTCTGGACAACGCATCGTTCCAGACTTCAGCAGTGATCTTGAGGGTGTTTTGTGATGTTGCTGAGTGCTTTGTACTGTATAGGATGGCATGAAATGAAATATACTGTCAACAGTGGTGCAGTTCACCAGTATAATAAGCATGAGGCTTGCCCTAATTTGCCTGGCTTTCATGAACATGTGGACTGTGTGCATATTCCTCATTACCTATGCACAAATAGCTCAATAGTTATGGATACAGATGTCGGCCTCTGTGCTGGACTTGCGGACCGACACATTCTTGATTATAACAGGGAAATTGAAAAAGAAACTTTGAATCTCATCAAAGTGAATGTTATACTAGTCGAATCTACATGTATTGTGCCTAAATATCCATTCCTCTGAACTTTGTGAACATTTTTGAGAGTCCTAAACTTAGCTTGTAAAATGGAAGACTTTCGGAAATGTACCCGTACATGTAAATACACTCAAAGTTGGAGTTCTGTAGCAAATCAACAATCAGTCAATCAAACCTTAATAGGATATCGAACACCACAAGGAAAAGAAAAATCATACATAAACACACAAGGCAAAAATCAACTTCTTGTTGCTTCTAAAGTTGAAGCAGCTGTGACCCTAAAGGTTGAAGTAAACATGAAAATTCTCAGTATTAGACATACATGCACAGGTAAACAAAATTACAAACTTAAAAGGACTCGCATCTTACTGTAAGAAAGTCAAAAATGCAAAGGTCCGCATCATGTCTCCTGCTCTGTGGACAACAGCGACACTTTCATCGATACCTTTCAGATACCCTAGAACTGAGTGTACTTTCATCTCCAAGTAATACTGAATCTCCTATGTGCAAGAAATATCCAGGTGTAAACAGAGTTTGTTTTTTTCATAATCTGATCCCTTGTACACATCATAGCCTACATCTTCATGCATGGGTTCAATTGAGAATTATTTCCAATCTATTGGCCTGACATGTGATGAGACATGTGCTCGGCCAAGCCCGAAAGTTGTTTGCCAGGCTGCACCTGGAGAAGTGCGGAGGTGTGTCATGTTCATAATACTGCTCCTTGAATGGCGTGCATCTGTACATGTACTCTGTGTCGGTCAGCCAGCCAGTTAGTAATGTTCTCCCACAAAGTCTCGTTGAGACTTTTGAAAATGTCAAACTGAGCAGATGTGAGAAAATTAATCTTCTTACACCAGTCCTCTGTGCCTGTGTTTTTGTGTGTGTGTGAGCCACCTGGCTCTTTCAGCAATATTAAACAGGAACAAAATGAATTTTCCCAAAGACTGTCCTAGATATTAGCACAGATAATATTGCTTTAGAGATTTTTGCCACAGCGTGCACAGTATTTATTGCAGAAAGGAGCGAGGGTTATCCCTTTCAGCATTTGTACTGTGCTTGCGGTATTTGAGCTTCTAATGGGCGGCAGTGTACAAACCGGAACATGTACATGTAGCACAAGTACACTTGAAGCAGGCTTTCAGCTGTGTACATGTATCAGTTTTCTTCAAAACAGAGCAAAACAACCAGTTCCAACATTTCTATGGCACACAGACCTGAGCAATTTTCTTTTAGGATGTCATCGCATTGGCCTCTCGGAAGGTAATAATGAAAGAAACACAAACGTCTCTTAGGCCTATTTACATGTAAGTGGTAACCCAAATCCTTTCACTATTGGAGAATACATGTACATGTACTCAGACTGGGCTGCTGTGGAATAATGAAAGTTTTAGGGGGGGGGATGAAGGACATATGTACTACAAGAGGGCCTAGGAATAACTACCGTGCTATACTTAAAGGTGTAAATCTACATGCACATGTCCTGTATTTTAATTTACGGCTCAACTTCAGGCTTTTTGTAACTACCAACCCCATGAGAACAAAATGACCAGATTGCTTGTGATTCATGTATGCGGCAGCCTTTTTGCAATCTATATGCAGATGTCCAATGACTGTCACTGACTGTTCTGCACTTGTACTCTACGTGATTTGATTTTGCCCCCCCCCGAAGCTTCTCTGGAGCAAATCAGTCATCAAACAAATCTGTAAGACTTGCAATACTGGGCCCTGCAGGGCCCCCCTTTTTCTAATCGGGGTAAAAAATTGCTTGACAAAATCAGTCGGCGGGGATTTAAGAGATGATTGCAATCTCGGCCCGTAAGGGAGGTTGGCTCTTTGGGGAGAGGTAGAAATAACCATAAGAATAACCGCTGGAGCTTTTGACAGTGGCGTTAAATCGGAAAAGTGGGTCTCGGATTCTTCAATGACATCGTATTATCCTGGGTTACATATTCATGTATGAGGCTGTAGGATCTGGCTTTTCCGAGTTGCACAGAGGTTATTTTTATTATGTATTCTTCTGGTTGTTGTTTGAGAACCTTATTGGTGGAATTATAATCAGCCTTTCGATCAGAAATATAGGTAGCCTAAAATGCATCTGATTGTACATGTCGTATTGTACCCATGGGATATGTACATGTTGGAATGATACTGGCTCCTTGGTAATTGAGGCAAAGTGTTACTCGTGAGCGAGCGACTCCTGCTATTTTTGCCGTGGTCAGAGGGTCATCCCTTTCATGTTTGGTTCGCATTGAAACCTGATGGGTTTTCAGAACCGCATTTTTATTTGCTTTGATAAACTGTATAGCTGCTAATTAATGTCTTTCTGAACAAGTTGACTCCAAAGCTGAAGTGCAGAGTTTATGTAATGTGTGTTGTAACATTACACATTGAAAGTTTCCATATATGTATGCATCACATATCCTGTAATTGGTGATGTATGTCATTTACCCTTCTGCAGGATTCTGAAGTTTCGTGGTTTTTAATAAAGAAATTAAAAAAACAAGAGTGGTGGAATTTTAATCCTCCACTTCCTCATTTGTGGAATATAATAACTGAGAAAATTTTTCTTTATTATTTGAACGACCTCGACAGATTTCCAAGGTTCCTATTGAAACCTGCGAGTCATTGACAACGTGTGGGGATTGTTTGCGTGTGGGAATGGATGGAACAGGAGACCCACATTGCGGCTGGTGCCCTTTGCAGAACAGGTATGTGAACTGTGCTCGCTTTGGTCGACAAGTCCAGCCCGCTTAATCCCAGACATGCATAACCTTGGACGCAGTTGAAATTCCACCGCATGCACATACATGTACATGTAATGTGCTCATGGCTCTGGAGTTATTGAAGGAACTGCAAACCCAGATGAACATGTGTGCTTTTTTTGCCATCTGTAGTTTGTTGCAATCAAAGACCAACCGCCAAGAAGGAAGTCACTATTCAACCTGACGCAGGAGAAAAATAATTGGGTTCTTATCTGAGATGATTAAATTATCTACTTCGCATGGGGGGAGGCCACAAGACTTGTACACTTTTTCCCGATGTGAGACAGAACAGTGATCTCTATCCTGCAAGTTTTATTCCGTCTTATTGACTTTTCCAAAAGGGCCAGTATGTTTCCTTGTATACAAAAAGCAGCATTGTGTGGGATTGAAGGATTACCATCAACGGTATTGTGCGCAGTGGATGAGGCTTTACCAGAACTTTAGTGCCAGAAGTTAGCACTCCCAGATTTGAGGCTCTGTTGTTCAGTGTAAGGCTGTGGAGGCACAGTTCTGCACACTAGGAGCCATTTGAAAACCTATCCACATCGGTGAAAGCTCACACCAAAAACCAGGACTGGCGAGTCCATCACAAGTCTGGTCACTTGTCCTGTGACAAGACCAACCATGAGAGACAAGGTGAACTGTAGCAATGGAATGTTTTTGTCGCGGTTCAGTTTGAATGGCTTGCGACTCGGCTGGAGACTGCATGATTTGTGATGGGGCCGATTACAGCCAGTTGCACACATACAGTCCAGTCCGTTACTAGACCTGTCACAAAACCAGTCACAACTCCTCTCTAAAGACCAGTCATATATTGAAGTAACAGACAGATTAATAACAAAGGAATGCTTTCTGTCTCGGTGCATTTTACTTGTTTATGACCTGGCTTAAAACTGAATGATTTGTGATGTGCGCAAGTACTAAACTGGTTACAACCATAACCAGCACATCAGAAAACCATCCAAACCTTTAAAAAATCTCGTAAAAATTGATCTAACTCTACAAGCAATCACTAAGCCCTTCGTTCACTCTTCTTTTCCCCCTACGTTGGCTGATGCTTTCATTTCGTCTGTTGTTTTTGTAAACACCAGTATGAATTGTTATGCCCCTGTGATGCATTTCTGGTCTCTGTGTTGATTGTGTAATTGAAGAAAACATGGCATGGGACGAAAAGAGGACCTGTGCATGCACCTAACCTCATATTGTATCTGGTAGTAAGAAACTGATGATACTCGGACAAGTATACGCACCTTTGCCCTACATGTCGAAATTTGAGCGGCCGTGGTATGGAAGTGTCATAGTTACATGTAGGAGAGGTGTACAAGATGTCAGTTTTTGTTTCACCATCATGGTTGCTTTGGTTTCGCACGTATTCACGCACGCATTTTCCTGAAGTTGTGGCACCGGTACGTGATTACAGGGGGCTCTGTTTGGCAGGTCAGTTGTCGAATTTGAAAGTTGCTCTCTAATTTCCACATCTGGAAAATAAAACCTAACTGTGTGAAACCGTCGAGAACAATGAGCGGATCAGTTTCCGAGGGAGTCAGAAATGATCAGCAGTAATAAAAAACGCTTTAGTCTGTTTCACATCATGTGGGTAATCCTGTTTCTGTTGCAGTAGAATGAATTTTGTGGCCAAGGTGATGAAGTAATATCCAAGAATAAATTGATTTCATCCCGTTGTGTCTTCTACATCTAGGAACTGCATTGTTTGAAGTGAAAATGAAAATAACACTGAATTCTCGACATGTGTTTCACTCTGCATTTGGAGGATTTCAGTTGTTTTTCCACAAAACTTTTCAGTACACAATGACACATCACCTTTATTTTGTGCAAAATTTGTTCCACACTACATGTATATCTGAAAAGAGGACTGATTGTTTTGTCAATTTCATCTGCATAATGAGGTACATGTATTTTTGCAGTGCCTTGGACCATTAAACTTGGCAGCTCTTGTAAACTGAATATCCAAAAATGAAAAAAAAAGGAGTATTCAAAGTGCATAACATTTGGGGCCTCCACACACTCACATCTGCATTCAAAATGGGGTGTCTGAAGCAGCTAATGAGCATCGCTTGAATGCTCCTCTGCCTATAATAGCTGTGCTGTGAATTTCAAAGAGTTCCTGTTATTTTTTCCCACAGCTGTACGAGGCGCTCGGAGATGGAGTGCCCAGGTGCGACCGACGTCCCATCAACCAATCGATGGATAGATAGCAGAAGCCCATGTATACATATCCAATCAGTGACGCCGTCCAGCATTCCCAGTGATGCCATTGCTCAGGTGAGGATCGTGGGTAATGGCTTTCCTGATCTTCGGTTCAAAACAGCTGCAGCTTTCATTTCATTTTTTTTCCCCCTTATTGATTCATAGAAATAACAATCATTACGTTTGTCCTCAAGAAGAAAAAAAATACACATGGTGAATTACATGTGCCTGGAAAAGTGAGTGTTGAATAACCTCAGAATGTGTCTCTTGGGCAGTTTGATAAAATGAGGAAAAAGTTTGTTTCCCTAAAAAGAAAATGAAATTCAGGAAATGTTTCTTATTTGGCCTTAAACTTGTAATTGGAGAAACATAGTTGTTTGTGAGGAATTACATTTCATAATTAGTAGGGTAATGGATCTTGTCAAAATCTGTAAGGTTTCTGGTTCAGTTGGAAGTCCATTGGAAAACATGCGGTTTTTCATGTTGTACTGAATGAAATATACTGGACCTCTCCAAAGTGAAAATGGATTTACACCATTGACTAACATTTATGGCTGAAGGTAAACCTCTCGAGAGGGTGCAATTTTCCTAGCAAAGGAGGCTCCTTTGGTGGAATTTTCTGGTTCACAAAGTGACTATGAAATGCATGTATTACGGTCGTGTGGCTACCAACAAAATGAACACTCCCCACCAACATGGCTCTTTTCAATCAATGAGGGTGTGCTGTCGGTCAAGATGGATATTGTGTTTACGGTTGACACTGATTTATCATAGCTAGTGAGGATCAGAAGAATTCTACATCAAGGCGCTGGAGCATTGAAAAATAACAAAGAAAAATAGTTGTCTTGAGTTCCAGAATTTAAGCACAGGTTGAATTTTAAGAAAAGTGCTGTCTGAGTACCGGTACTGAAGAAGACCTTAGTCACTTTCATTTAAATTTTAAAATTCAGTTTCATCATCAGAGGGTGTTTTCGGTTGATTTCCTTCTGCCACAGCTAACTCTGAATGTGACCAGCCTGCCTGTACTGAATAACAGCTTGACCCACAGGTACCAGTGCTTCTTCGACTCGCTGGGGTCAACGGACGCGACAGCGGTACCCATGGACAATTCCCTCGTCCAGTGCTCGACCCCGGCTGCTATGCCAGTGCTTCAAGGAGGTAATTCGTGCACTATCCTGCCATTTTAATGCTGTTTGTGTTCCATAAAAACAGGTGCCCCACAGTTAATCTTTACATCAGGTGATTTCATTATCTTTTTGTCTAAATATTCCCCTCAAAAACAGTCTGGTAAATCACATATAATGGGAATTTCCACTCCTTTTTTTCTTTAACTGCCCTGTTCATTATCTGTTGATAATCAACTACATGTAACTTGATGTTATGGTTGAGGATTTTTACTGTGAAATTGTTGTTTTAGATTCTAACCCCCTCCCCCATAAACTGTGAACAAATATCTGTGAAATTCATTGAAGCACACATTTAAAATGTAAACAAAATAAGGGTAACTTGATACCCCAGCCAAAACTAAATCATGTGGGGGGAACCGTTTGAAGTTTTCTAATGCGTAAAAGTTGGACAAAGTTAGGATGACCTTCAAGTTGGCCCCTCTGTATATTAAACTGTTATAGTTTGTATAATTTGTGTGCGGTCTGTACGACTCGAAAACAAGTTTTCTCACTTATGCAACATACATGTATGCCGATACTATACAATGAACATGTACTGCCAGAGCTGAAGAAAAATGGAAGGTTGTTGTGTAATCTTTTTGGCAGGTGAACTGACAGTCACCCTTTCCCTCCGGGCCACCGAGACGGACAAACTCATCGTCAACACGACCTTTGACTTCTACAATTGCAGCGCCTTTGAGAGCTGCACCCAGTGTGTGGCTGATTACCTGTGCAACTGGTGCATCTTTGAGAACAAGTGCATGGGGAATGCAAGCAGCTGTAACTCGACTGGTGTCATTGCTGGGCAGGAGGTGAGCTTGGTTTAAATATGCGCATTGATTAATTAGTCATATGTACATGTACAAGTAGTAGTTGCTTAGGTCTTCCTACCAGGTAATTCCTGGTGCTAGAGTTTTATATGAAAGTGTAAGGCTGGATAACTCAGGTGCTAGAGTATTTGGTAGTGTAGGACAGCATTTCTTTCTGATGTAGCTGAGGTGCTAGAGCATTTGCATATGTGTATGAAACCTGGGTAGCTTAGGTGCAAGAGCTTTGCTGATGTAGGACTTTATTGATGAGCATTTGCATGTATAAGACTGGATAGCTCAATTACTTTAGCACTTTTTGAAATAGTCCACTACTGGTACCGTAGTTGTCTGGGTTTAAGACCCAGGCTGAATGAATTGTCAACTGCTACAATCCACCTCTCGCTCTGATAGCCCATGGCTTGGAATCAATCTCAAGTCAAAAAAAAGGAAAACAAGCCTTTGGGCATCAGAGTCTGTGATTCAAAGAAATTCATTTTAATCATTTATGACACCTTGAAATGTGGGTTGCGTTTTTAATTTGTCAGCCGTGACTTTAATATCTTGTAAGGGTCTCGCTCGCACACTTGTGTCTCGTTGTTGGTCATGCTTCAGGGGACCACACAATTAACCGGTACTAGTCATCAGTTTTTCCATTTGTGTCCACTGGAGAGCTATTATATATTCAGGTGTCAGAAATGGAAAAGCAGAATGTCGACGCAAGAATCATTGGGCAGCTGATAGACTGCCTTGGATGCAGGAAGGAGCAAATGAAAAGGAATACTTGGGCTGGAGAGGCATTGTTAACTGGCCTTTCAGCAAAGTGACACATCCAAAACCTAAGGACATTATTTGAGGAGTAAGAAGATCTCAGTTCCCTCTCTAGGAACTGCAAAAGTACATTTCATTGTGTTGTACTGGGTTAGGTTGATTATATTTTTGCATAGCAGTATGGAAAAGGAAGAAAGTTTGGAATGCTGGTTTGAATTTCGGTAAATTACCGGTACCTTGGAAAGGTTGCTTTATCAGCCATTCAGAGCGCTCCATCTTAATTGCTGTGACTACTTGTACTTTCCAACTTTTATAACATTGCCCTCCCCTCCACCCCACTCAATCTTACCTTACCCTATACTCCCTGAATTAACCCACATCCCAACCCAGTCCACCCCCCTCCCATCTCCAACCTCCCACTACCCCTCCCACTCCGTCTCAGTCAACACCTTCGTCAGCATCACTGCATACTTTCCAAGGTCAGACCTCCACATTCCTGATCTCAAATCACAGGATGTTTTGGTTTGATGACTGAGAGTCAGTACTGACATCTTGCCTGTCGACTCACAGCCTTAACACCGCACCTTCCATGCCCCCACCACAACCCTGCGTGCCACCCTTACATGTAACTATTGAAGTACGTTGGGGGGAAAAAAATTGAATCACTTTCCACCTGTCGTCAATTGGTACATGTAGGTGCAGAACATGGACTCACCGAGGAAGGGCAAGGAATATTGCCCAAGGATCGACAACAACAATGAAATTCTCATTCCAGCGGGAGAACCAGAACCTCAGGACTTCACAGTGAATGTGGCTAGTCTTCCCGTTGAGGTAAAGGCTAGTGTTACTGCTTAAATATTGATGAGATAATCGTAGGAAGTCAGAGAAAAGACTTTTGGGTTGTATCAGGGAAATAAGTATTCCCCTTCCACAAGAAATAGGTGTTTTACGAACTTGGGTCATAACTCAGCTTGGTCATGGGCATCGTGGGAGATCGGACACAAGGGAGAACTTCTTCTTCTCCCAGAAAAAAATGCCTTCCCCCTGCTCTCTCAAAACAAAAAGAAGAAAGAACAAAAAACCGTGGCGACAGTCAGGTTTGTACAGCCAGGGAAAAATTTGAATTGAGTTTTAATTGACTACATTTATTGCAACAGCTTTCCCAGTAAGTTATTCTTCCAAGAAGGTGAAACATTTGATTCAGCAGGTGTGTGTCATTGACAGACTAACAAATAATTCCCTCTTTAGATTCTTTTTTTCCCTGATTTTTCTGATTCATAATGGAATTTATTTTGACTCATCTTCTGGCAATGTAGCGTTCAGACAAAGAACCCTGTTTTTCTTTTGACTCTTTCTAATAAATTCCAATTTTTTCTCCTTTTTTTTCTTGAAAGACACAAGCATACTTGTTAGGGAAATGTGATTTCACAGTTTTATCCAGCCGGCATATGAAATGAATGATCTGCCTTTTACTGGTAATGAGCAAAGACCTCTACCATAAATGTACATGTAGGTTGATTTTTAGTTGAAACAAAACAGTACCTGTATATTTAATACTTCTATACGTAGGCCTACTTGTTTTTCTTTGCCAACATGTACATATCGTGTGTGCCTCATAGTACCAGGTAATGTCAGTGATTGCTACATACTGTATAGGTGTTAGTTCCCCTGATTTTTCTGATTGCACATTGACATTGATTGTACATTCTGATGGTACATTGAGTTGTTAATGAGTTCATTTTAAAGGCAGGTATCACGGGAGTGTTTTCATTAGATCTGTGCGGATTCACTCGGCTCACAGTGACAAAGACTCATATTACAGGGCCATGCATGTGAACTGAAATGCATATGTTACATCCTGTCCTTGTATTGGCTTTCTGGATTTGGGAGACAATCTGTCACGGCCCACTTTTACATATCCTGTCATGGTTAAGTGATCCTGCAGACGTCCATGGATCGGGTTCCCCTCCATGTTTTCAAAAGAGTGCCCTTATCGCCTGCAATAACATCACACGACATCTCACAATGTTATCAGCCCATTACATCTCTTTTGGTAAATAGCGAGATATCATCTTGCCATTTATGAATTCCAAACACCATTGTCAATTTCACCAAGATCAACAAGAGGCCTCAGTCTCACTCCTCAAGACCAGCTTTTTGTGTTCCTGTTTGACTCATTGACAGAGGGACAGTTTAGAAACTGGAAATGTTTTCGTTGCAAAGAAATATTGAGCGCACTTAGGAAATTGTTCGAACAGAATTTCCTGGCCATCCGCACGCAGAACAATAGTTAAGCCATTTCTGCATTTGTAAGTTCAGTAATTCTTGGTACTTTGTTTGTTCAAAGAATAAAACAAGGAAGTGGCTAGCAACTAAGTTTTGATTACTGAAGCATCATGTTACAAGTCCCATCTGAAATAGTATGGTATATATTGGTACTACCGTAAAAACAGGAAAATGGAAAATCAGTTGAATCTTTGTATGCACAGTTGGAGTAGTACATGTATGGGGACAGAATTCAAGAGGTCAGGGTTTAAAATCCTGCTTCCGTTAAACTGAAAACGGACAACGTTTTTTCTTCAAATGTGAAACCAGTGAATTTTATGTTTTCTGCAATTCTGATTGCTCTAATATGGATCATTACTGCATGTCGTCCACCAGGGCCTGTTGACAATAATCATGCTAACATCTAATGGCCTTTGAAGATTTCAGCCACTTTGAGCTAAATCTATAAACATTTTATCGTCAGGTCATCAAACTGAAACCTTGATTACTGCATGGTCCCCACAGAAAGCGGTCATTCCATCATATTGGACATGCAGGCGCCCCGGCGGTAGACAGTATTTACATGGCCAGGCTCCATCACGATAGCTTCAACATGAGGAATTTGACTATTCACTCAATTTGTCAGGCGGTTTACAGCAGGCCTTTAATTAACTTCTTATTGCTTCCATCCTTAGTCTGGTTACCAGTGTGCACTGAAGCATCCCGGATGGGAAATGGAGGCAGTGACTCCAGGCATCAGACTCGATGACTCCAGCATCCGTTGCTCAGCTAGGAAGGTAGGGTATTAAAGTTTCTAACGATGCGTGATCAGGATTGGTTAGAATGTGACCCTGGTTGACAAGAGGTTTTCTTCGGAGTAGATGTGTAAGGCTGATAAGCCTTTAGAACAAATTAGTTTTGAATTGTTATTCTGTTAATCTGTGAGACAGTTGGCCGATGTAAGTTTCCGTCTTGTGACACTTCATCACAAGAAGATTCCAATTAAGCTGATTAACAGATGTAGAGCAGCTGGAAACAGGGATGTATTAATTTACATTTGGTAGCATCAACTGTGTGTTTGTGAAAATTAATTCTGAAATTATTGCTAAATAATATTGATGTAAGTTCAAAAGTTTGATTGACTTTTTTTGTTAACTAAAACATCCTTTTTTGTTGAAAGAATTTAAAATTGGAGAAGTTAATTAACTCTGTGTCAAAACCAGGTGTTTCAAATGTGTTTCCCTTAAAAAGCCCGGGGATTTCACATATTTTATTAGTTTTACATGGGCTCACATTAACTGTAATTGTTTTGTCAAAACAATCTCCTATTTTCTCTCACATAACAGTACAATTACACCATGGATGAGAACACCATTGTCGCTGATTTACGTATCCGCTGGAATGGTGGTCGCTTTGTGCTGGACAACCCCTCCATGTTGAACGGTAAAAATGGATACTGTTTTTTTATACTTCTCACAGATTAACCAAGGCTGAGTTTGAATCATGACTGCATTTTGGCCCTTTCCCCTGGTAACCTGTATGCAAAATATACCATGGGCACCAGGGAAAATGAACCTGTTGTGAAGAATTGGTACTCACTTGAACTTGCCATTAAAAAGCTGTGCAAGGATGGAGACAAATGCCACAACTTCTAGAGTTTGTGTCGAGGAAACACCCTCAAGAAAAATCTGCGTGGACATGGGGGGGTACATCAAAACAAGAGTATCCAGCACACCTGCATGTACATGTATAGTTTGGAAGGAAGAAAAAGTTTGGGAAGTATTACTGAGGTTTTACTCAAAACACACTCATTTTGGTTTCTTGGCACAAGATTTTTAAGAACATTTACCACTGAGGTTAAAGTCTGTCATTGTCATTTTCTTGACATAGTGACGCTGTACAAGTGTGCAGTTAAGCGAGCAGATTGCGGGAAATGTCTCCTGGCAGATGCGAAGTTCTCCTGTGGCTGGTGTGAAGAGGCCAAAATGTGCAGCCGGTCCGCTCGGTGCCCCGTGGTGCCGGGCACCGGCCAGAGGTGGCTGAGCGGGGTTGACCTGTGCCCCGACCCACGCATCACCATGGTGAGAATTTGCCAACAGATTTTTTTTCACCTGGCTGCTTCAGGTTGCCAGTCACACACTATGGTTCGTTGTTGTAAGCAGTCAGATGTGCCCTGCAAACATGCATCATGCGTTGTTTGATTTATGGTAAGCTCTTCTGATGGCTGATCTGATTTGTTCTGTCTGTCACTCTGTAGTTTGACCCCAAAAGTGGGCATGTTGCCGGAGGTACCAAAGTGGTAATCAAGGGATTCAACCTGGGCCAGAGTGTCAGCGACATCAGACGAGTTACCGTTGCGGGAATGCCGTGTCGGATGCTGGAATCGGAGTACACACCTGCCGAGAGGTAACTGGGTCTCACTGGCAAGCCCCATGGAGGAACCTCTTAATACCCTATCCCTAAGCCATGACCGCCACCTCTTCCATTACAATTTTAACCTTTCAAATTTGTGAGTTTTCAATGGCCTACAAATCAGAGCGTTCCCAGTTTTGACAAATTTAGAAAACCCACTGATTCTCGACAACAGTGCCATGAGAGTTTGAGTTCATGATGGTACATGTAACTCACGGACGATATTGTGACAACTGTAGCAAACCTCCATGCTTTCTGCTTACTGTAGTACTGAAGCCCTGATTATTGTCCTGATTGATGTTGAGTTTTAAAGGGCTTGATTTATTGCATTTGTTGTCAGTGTTGATGCTAATCCGGTGCTGTGTAGTTGGTGTAGCAAAGCCAAAAGTGGCCTTGAATAAATACAGTCAAACCTTGATAAGTCGAAGTTCGAGGGAATGAATTAAAAATTCAAGTTATCTGGACTTTGAGTTCAAGAAAGTCTCACCGCTATGGAGCCAATACACCTATACACATATGCAGACATACATGTTGTTGCTCCAAACTCGTTCCATGGGTGGCATCATTTGTGGCTATTTTCTGCTTTCTGTTCATTCCCATGGAACATTTTGCTTGTGAATATTCATTTTGCTAAGAATTTTCATTGTTGTTTTGTCTAGAAGTTTCGTTTCTGCTAATAAATTTACAATACATTTCATCATGTTTTTAAAGGTGTACCTTCGTTTGGAAAATTTTTGATCTTTTCGTTGATCGTGTTTACAATATGATGCATGCTGCTTGCAGTATTTGGGTCTGCTTTCAAATGGGTTTTTCTTGTGACATCACTTACTGTGGTCTGGTGACCATTATAATAGGCAGTGATTAATTCATCCGCTCATGGGTCTTGCGGTGGCAATCAGACTAGCCCCAAAGCCCAGAGTTGTTGTGGTTACGGTGTGGCATGGTTTATGAAGCGAGCCGCACAGCATGCATGCTGGGCAAGCAGATCAAGAGTGAAAAGACGATGCTTGGCAGCAGTGAATCAGACCGTGGTTTTGTGGTGCCATGTTTGTACTTTCTGAAACTATTTGGCGGTGGTTTTTTTATCAGTGTCGCAAAAACTTTGACTTAAGCGGGATTTTGGCTGCTGGTAATTCGACTCACGGAAGTATTTGTGTACACAAACGCCTGTTCTTTCGGCGGGAACATGAACAAAGCATCACTTCGAGGCAAGCGGATTTTTAACTGTGAGTTTGACTTGTGGAGGTTTAAGTGTAGTCATGAATTATCGAATTCTTTCTGTATCTCCAACAGAATTGTCTGCATGACCAATTCTAGCACAGATGGGGCAGCCAGCGGCCCCGTCATCGTCGTGATTGGCAGGGGCAATTCCTCAATGCCAGATCTGGAGACAGTGTCTGAAGAAAATTTCTCCTTCGTGGTATGTTTTGGTGTCCTTTCTCAATTGTTTAAATTTATCCGGTATTGTTGGTTTTTACATTTACCCTTTATCTTTTGACAGTGACAAACATAAAAACATCAAATTAATTGTACTTGATTGCTTTTTTTTAACAGGTACCCTCTATCACCAATGTCCACCCGCTTCTTGGGCCCAAAGCAGGTGGGTCAAGGGTCACGTTGACTGGCATACATCTCAATGCAGGGGGTAGCAGGACCATCACTGTAGCTGGCATGCCCTGTGACCTTGCTGACACTGGCAAGTGAGTGACCATTTTGGTTAATTTTTCTTTAGAGCAGATGGTAGTCACGTCACCGAAAACTTGTGGACAGTATCACTTTTGGCCAAAAGAACCAGACTTTGAAAAACAAAAAGAAAGCAAGGTAGATGGGCCAGATTGTCTGAAGCGCCCGCAATGCCACAAAGACTGACTGCTGAGAGCCATTTGTAGAATATCTTGCTGCAATCTTGTATTTGCAACACCCCAAGGCGCTGCCATGCAAGAGACCCAGTGTAGCGGTCAAGTTTAGCACATGGTCCACCTGCACAGATTGGGTGATGAGACATGTGTGCACATTGGCAACTGCAGACTCGGTGGGGGGGGGGCGATGGTCAACGGTTGAACCCATTGGCCACCCCTGTAAATATAGATTGCTCGTGTTCACTTGGCCTCCAGCCGTTTAATCTGCTTGTTTACTTCTTCACCCCTGAGTGTGCAGGTGTTGCTCTGCGCGCACAGTGGAGTTGTAACACACACACAAATTAATGGTCAATCAGAAGTCATCCGAATCACCTGATTTGGATGCAGCCTGTGACTCAGGCTGCACCCAAATCATTTGTCTAGAGAGCTGTGTATTTCTTTTCCTCTGAAAAATACGTGGGGACGTGCTGACAATAGACATAGCCGGAGCTCAGGGTCCCAATCAACTGGTTGCAGCCGGGATTAGCACATGCCACTGTGGGAAAAAGCTGCTATCCAGCGACTTATATGCAGCCAAATGTCGTTTGCAGATTGAAACTGTCCAAGTTTGGGGAGTCACTCTAAGCCAGTCTTCTGCATTTTGCCTTTTTCACAAACAGCTTGTCAGGTGATGCCATCAGCTGCATCACATCGCCAAGTGAGACGGGCAACGAGGGTCCAGTGACGATGACCTTTGACGCAGTGGGCGCAGCCGTGAGTTCCAGCAACTTCACGTACACGGAGAATCCAAGTATCTCGAAGCAGGACCGCACACAGATGATTCTCAGGTATGTTTCTTCTGTCTGCGACTTACACTACTGGAAGGGATCAGTTCAGATGTCTGGATGCTGTTTTGATTCGACTCTGTGGCTTCCACCTCTGCTAATTCTAGGTTCAATCTCCTTTGTCTAGTTCCTGCTTCAAGCTTGTGCAAGGCCTGGGGTAGCATGTGAGAGTTTAAAATTAAGGGTTCTATGAAATAGATTATTTGTCACCATAATCCTTGAAAAAGCACCTGTTTCTTTCAATGGACCGGATTTTAAAGGTTTGTTTGCTACGTGAAAGGTCTTTTTGGTGCTTTTAGGGTTGTTATGCGTGTGAAAATTTGCATATTCATGAGCAAAACAGTGATGTCATTCCTGGGAGAAATCCTGAATGTCACATTAACATGTTGACTGCTGACTATGAGTATTCTCATAACAGGTGTACCGGATTCTGCCTTTATGAGTATATTCGTAGAAAATGAAAGGCTATTATAGTGTAAATGGCAGCACTGAAGAACACATCAAATACATGTACGCTGCTGGCAGTGTTGAGGGCATACATGTGCAAAATGCTTATGTTGAAATAGACACCTGAAAGGTGCCTATTAGATATGCGTCCATGCATACAACGCTTGGCAAATGGGAACACCCCTTTGAAATTATGCGCGGCAGTCAAGGTGTTGACACTGAAAACTGCTGGATTTTTAGTTTTTGCTTTTTAAAATTTGTATTGAAGATTCACTGTTGTGTGAATGCATGGCAGGAAGCCGACAAATAAGCCATTCTGATAAGTGCTCTCCATGAGCTTATTTTCGCTTCACAATTTGAACAGAAAAACCTGTAAACAAAGTGGCATCTGTCCCTGATTGGCAATCACAGCAACAACGCTCTTTATTATCCAGAAAAATTATACCATTTTAAACATTTTAAGAAGTGCACTTTGAAATGGGTTCGAAATTATTATGTCCTACATTGAAGAGGAGTGTAAGGTTGCTCCAAAAAGGTTCCTAAGAAAGCTTGGATTAGATTGGATTTATTCGGTATTACCTCACAATTAGGTAATACCAGGGATTACCCATGAAAGTTTGCAACTTATTTCCAATGGGATCCCTATTGAGTTAGGAAGAAGGTCCAGTTTAAGAGGCAGGAGGAAACCAGAGTACCTGGAGAAAACCTGCTAGAGTGAGTATGTACTGGAAACCAAATGCACTTAAAGCCTGGGCCAAGCCGGGACTGGAACCTGGGCCTCATTGGTGCAAAGCCAGTAAAGAACCGCTATGCTAACCTGCTCCCACTTCATCACCTGGACCCTTCAATACCTGAGTAAGTACAGGTAGCATGTGGGGTAAGTACAGGTAGCATGAGGGGTAAGTACAGGTAGCATGTGGGGTAAGTACAGGTAGCATGTGGGGTAAGTACAGGTAGCATGTGGGGTAAGTACAGGTAGCATGTGGGGTAAGTACAGGTAACATGTGGGGTAAGTACAGGTAGCATGTGGGGTAAGTACAGGTAGCATGTGGGGTAAGTACAGGTAGCATGTGGGGGGGGAGAAGGGAACAAGGAAATATATGTCCATACCTCAAACTGCCAGCGTTTCTTGCTTGTTCTTATGCTCAGTGGTGGATTAAGCATAGCGGTGATGGGAGTTAACCTGGATGTCGTGCAGGAGCCGAAGATGGAAATTCAAATCAGGAAAATGCCAGGAGTCACCCGGAGCAAGAGACAAGCGAGCCAGCAGATTGATAGCACAATCATCACAGTATGTACTGTCTAACATGTTCTCTGGCATTAGAATGTGCCCTCTGATCCCAACTGGCGTCAGGGTTTTTCTCGAGGCACCCTGCTGAACCCCGCAGAATCCTACAGCTAGAACAAAATTCCACAGAAAGTGACCACTTTTTGTTGGGTTTAGCGTGGTTAGGGTTATAAACATGAAGTACGTCTATTCAGGGATTCAGAATAAAGGAAGGAATCCTCAACACCTCTGAAGTCACCAAAAGTTTAGTTTTTCCCCACAAAACTTCAGGCCGTGTTGTATACTGGTATTACTCTTTTCTTTGCTATTTCCTTCAGCTTCAAGTGGGCATCGCTGGTTTTCATTGCTTATCCATTAGAAAACAAACAGCATCAGTCTTCAGTGTATCTTTCTCTCAAACCTTCATTACAGAAGTGTACTGTCCTCAGCTCCACCTCCATGGAGTGCAAGTCGCCCGATCTCTCGAAGCCAGAATTGGCGGGCACTTTCACCTTCGACAACAGCACTTCACCGCCCTCCTTCATCCTGCCTGGGAGCGACATCAGCTTTGTCATGGATGGGGTCACCATTATGTCCCAGTCCGATTTCAGAGTGTTCGTCGACCCAGAGTACTTCATGTTTGAGGAGGTCCAGAGAGTGGCTTACAAGGAGCGCAAGATGCTAGAAATAAAGGTAACGGGGTGTTGATTTGAACCACTCCGCATCCCATGATGTGTGATCAAGCATGCAGCGCCTGTATGGGTGAATTGTCCTTTGTCCATAACAAGGAAGATGTTTAAATACTTTCTGACCGAGTCTTCAAGCAGCACTCGGTGACATCTGTGCTCATCTTCACACTCGAGGGATTCCTATGAAAAGGGTGTGCATGAGGTTGAGCTCGTGTGGAACCCTCAAGCGGCTGCAAGCCGCAGCAAGGCTTTGTGGCAACTAGTGCTCTTTGACACTGTCTCGGAGTGTGAGAAAAGTGACAGTGTGTTAAACGATACACATAAATCTTGAACAAATAAACTCCCAACTTTTTAAAGGATTGTGGTTTGGATATCTTTTCATTTTTAACTCCGAAAATAATACTGTGCCTTGGACAAGTTTTCCTCGGAGTTTTACCGTAGGCAAGTGGTTAAACGGCCCTTTCCCGCCAAAAAAGTCATGCTAGATTTTTGTGGAGCTGATAGGTTTACTAAGCAGAGAAATATTTGGCTTGCCAAAATGCAGCTTACCAGCCAAAATGTCACATGAATGCATAGTACTTTGCTGGTTTTGACTTGGCAGTGAGCTAGGTCAGTATTTCAAGCAGGCAAAGGTTTTTTGGGAACAAGGCCTGTGAGTCAGAGTGTGGCTGCGCTGATGGGGCAGACAGTTGCCCGTGCATGCCACTGTTCCCCAATGACCTCGGATACGCTTCAGTTTATACATGCGCTGTTGGAATACTGAACGGGCTCATTAAAGCAAAGGTCTGCTCTGTTCATTGACACTGTGAAGTTGGGTCCTCATATATCCTTGGAAACCAAAAATAACACCGAGTGAAAAGGCTATAGAGAATTTATACAACGGGTTTTGCCGTTACCCAACGTGTATATTGATAAACACTGTATGCTCAGTGCCTGTCCGAGAGGTTGCAAAAAAATTCACAAGCTTACTTGGGTGGGACTCAAACCCACCACCTCCTGCTTTAAACTAGTGCAGACATCTGTAGAGAAATCAGCTTCATACATGTACATTCTCGTGGCCACTCAAGTGTCATTTCCTCCCCCTCCACACACCCAGGGTCGTTACATCAAAGCAACGTACATGTCCGGTGATGTCACAGTCACTGTGGGGAATCTGTCGTGTAGTCCACTGATGCAGAATGAAGACAGCCTGACTTGTGAGGCACCCGAAAATGAAGTAGGACAAACCTACAATGTAGTGGTAAGTTGTCCAGACAAGAGTAGCGTGGCCGCACTTGAGCAACAAATGACTTAAGCTGTAAGCCGAGAGGCCTGTTTCGGACAAGGGCTTAAACGTGCCTTGTTACTGTAGGAAGGGAAAAGGTCACAAGACTGAACCGCCGTGAGTATCCATGACGACACTAAGGTCACATTTTTGCTGTTTTGGTGGGATCCACATCTGCTGCTACATTCTCCACACAGTATGTGTCCGTGCACCAGTGTTAACAAATGGCACCCCCTCCACCGGGCAACATTATCGTGTATGATTTCTAGAAAGTGGTCTATTAGGCACACAATTTTTATGGGAAAATTGGCCTCAGAATATGTGTCCATAGCTAGCTCCAGGTCTTTGCCAGTCGCAAATGCGAGAGTTTATGCTTGGAGCAGGCAACTGGATGTAGCCGCTGCTCTGTGAGCTTGTTCTGGTTTTGGACGTGGCCCAGCTTGTCAATCTTTTTCTCTGTTCCCCAGGTCTATCACGGCAACCTGGAGAAGCCTGTGGGGCGCGTCGAGTATCTCCGTGAGGAGTTGCCCCTGGCCATCATCATTGGTGCCGTCTGCGGCGTGGCCCTCATCATCTTCATCGTCCTGTTCATCATCTGCATCTGGCGCCGCATCAGCGCCAACGAGCGCCGCTTCAAGAAGATGGAGTCACAGAGGGACGAGATGGAGATGAGGGTGGCTCAGGAGTGCAAGGATGGTGAGAAGAGAGTGACAACATTACTGGAATAGATAGTACAGGCCAACGTCAAGCATCTATGCTGGGCGATATATGGCTTCACCCCTGAATAGCCTCTGTGAAATTTGTTTGCTAATGTTCTGAATGCCGCATCTGAGCATTCTGCTGGGACCAGTAAACGCACGCATCCCTGGCACATGGCTGCAAGATGCTAGCCATTGCCTCCCACAGGCATCCGTGCCATTCCCAACAGTGGCCAAAACTCTTCGACCCAGGGTCACTTCTCTTCTGACCCGAGTCATACCTTTCTCGCTGCTGTGTCTCTTTCAGCCTTTGCCGAGCTGCAGATCACCGTCCTGACAGTAAGCAGTGATGTGGAGGGATCGGGGATACCATTCCGTGACTACCGTGATTATGTAGCGAGGCTCCTCTTTCCAGAGAATCCATGCCATCCCGTGTTCAGAGAGATTCCTGTTGTACGTGAAAATGTAAGTCAAGGGGGGAAAGAATGAACGTAATCACTGTAGTGAATGATTGATATTTTTCTTATTTACCTTTGAGTTTTGCTTAATGCGGTTTTTGATGCGGCAGGTTTTAGCAGAGTTTTCAGGTGGATAAAGTTTAACAGTGTGTACAAATGCTTCACACCTTGCCATCTCAAAATCAGATCACGATTAGAGCTCAATTCCATGGCTGTGCTATTACGGGACATCACCCTTAGGATAAGCATTGGGTGCTTACAGCACTAGCACAGAAATTTCATGTAGCCAAGTAAGCGTAGGATCTTTAGATGTAGTATTTGTGGATGCATCTAACCCACATATCTCTGCGGACCTGTGAAACTGTTAGCTCATAATGTTGTCCAATGGCTAGTGAGGCCTTTTTGCTTAGGGTAAGTGGTGTCATGAGATTGGGCCCAGCTGACATTTTTGATCATGTAGAAATGTTGAAACCCCCCCCCCAATCTGTCTTGCTCAGATCTCGGGCATCAAGCGCAATGTCCTAGAGAAGGCACTGGTGCAGTTTGGCAACCTGATCACCAACCACACCTTCCTGGCCATCTTTGTCCGCACCCTGGAGAACCAGAAGTCCCTGTCGCTGAAGGACCGCAGCAACATCGCCTCGCTGCTTGTCATTGCCCTGCACAACAAGCTGGACTTCCTGACCCAGGCCGTCAAGCTCCTCCTGCAGGACCTGATCAAGGTGTACACCAAGGAGGGGCGGGCACAGCTGCTGCTGAGAAGGTACCGAGCACCTGCACCCATTTTTGTTTTGCAATTCTCAGCCTCACCGCCGTCTCTGGCATTATCTTGACTTGAGCTTCACAGTCAGTGTCAAATGCTCAATATCCGACTGAAAAATACTTTAAAAACAAAATGGTGTCACATTAGACTGGCTAATGTTTCTGTAGCAGAGAATGGAGCTACATTGAGTCCTTACTTCTCAACTCGGGATTACATCCATGGAACTGAAGCCTCAGGAGTAAGCCAGAGGCAAAGCTAAGAGCTTCTAAAAGCTTGCCAGTCTAAAAAATTTTCACAAAAGCTCCACTTTAATTAGAAGGATTGGATAGTCAAAATCCCAGGGAAGAATCACCAGAGAGGCCTAGAAGCTGCAACACTACTGTCTGTCAGGTGTTGATTGAGTAAGGTCACCTCTCTAGGGCACTTAAATCTCTCCAACACTTTTACTAATGTGAAACTTACCTTCAAGATTTGTGACGTCTATAACTATGGCATTATTGATGGATTGATGGGTGCATTAGTAGACTCTTTATCAAAAGACAAGACTATTCCAGGTTCAGGTTCCTGTTTTGTAGCCAGAGAGTGTGAAACTGAAATTGTTGTGTCCGTCTGTGAGACTTCAGGATAAGAGGTCATCTGCACAGATGCCAAAATTATTGAATTTTTCAAACTTTTCTGACTCTAGGAGCGAGGCAGTCGTCGAAAAGTTGGTGGCTCATTGGCTGTCCATCTTGATGTATGACTCGCTGAAGGACAGCATGGGGAAACCCCTATTCCACCTGTTCTACGCTATCAAGCAGCAGGTATGATGTCAAGCATGCCAGAACTTCCAACACAGGAAATGTATGGTGTTAAACTAAATGCTAAGGAAGGCCACATCCAAAGTCAACCAGCCATGGTAACACGTTCCTTTAGTGTCAGCCAAGTGTTTATGGTAGCCCTTCTTTTACTACGAAACGTTTCATGTGCTAAGCTGAGTTTTGTGCTTAGCACCTTCAATAATATGGCCTAACAGATAACAATAAAGAATTGCTCACCATTACTTCATTTGCCTAGGGACACCACACAGGGAGCTAGTAAACAGAGAATTTTAGGAGGCACATCGTGTTAGGATTTTAGCATTTTACTTGATTTTTGTTAGACTACATGTATGTCTCAATATTTGCAGACTAATTTCTGAATTTTGCCAAATGATATTTTGTCCTGATTGCCTATCATCTATATCTGACAGTTTGATTTCTTGGTTTTCATTTCAAGCCGAATCATGTATTGTCGCTGTCATTCAGTAGTCTAAATTCAAATCTGTTTCCCATCCCTACAGATTGACAAGGGTCCAGTTGACGCCGTCACTGGGGAGGCGCGGTATGGCCTGAGTGAGATGAAAGTCATTCGACAGCAGATTGACTTCAAAACGCTGGTAAGTGGCCTTCCAAGACCCATTCCAGACGGGGCAGCCATTGTATAATCGTGCCTTTGGCTGCAAGGCAGATGACCATAATCCTTTATGATTGTGAGCCAGAGGCTAAATGTCATCAGGTCGCAGCAAACCATCAGGATCCCCCATAAGGCCCTGGATTTATCGCAGGAATGATGCATCTTATAAACTAGGCCTTCTCTTGTTATGTTGATGGAATTTTGATCGTTTTGGGCCAAAGGTCCTCCAGAAAATAACCAATATTTGGAGGAGAGATACATTACGTGAGTTTTGAAATTTTACCCGACTTGTCAGAAACTCTCTTTTTTTCTTTCCTTATAAAACTATGCCATGTGCTGGACATGAATAAAAAGGTCCTGTGATGCATATTGCTTGTCACTGGTCCTTTGCTAAGGAATAAGCTTCACTTAACGATATGACCCCCAGCTTAACTCCATACAGCTGGCCAAACAAATATACGCCGCAGACTTGTTTTGCTAAGATTGAAAATGGATTGTCGGCAAAACTGGTTCTAATGGAAGAAAAATTTGTCAAATCTGTTGAAATAAACCTTTAAGATTCACATTTTCTCCTTACGCTGCTTATATTCTAGAACATCAAAACCAACAGTCTGGATATCACCTCAGAGCCCATCCAGTTGAAGGTGTTAGACTGCGACACCATATCACAGACGAAGGATAAGATTCTAGATGCCATCTACAAATCATGTCCATTCAGCAAACGGCCCATGCGAGATGAGCTAGATTTAGGTATGAACTCACTCAACTAATTCTGATCCTAGTTTGGATTACAATTATTGTTTAGTCTACGTAACCGCATTTCAGTCACAGTTAAGTACTGAAAATTATGAGCTTTATAACATAATCCCAACTGTAAAGATTTTCATGATCTTCAACACTAACCACGTGTCGGCAGTATTTAATCTAGCCCCTGGCACAGTGTTATTTTCTGCTGGACATTTCATAGTTGTTGCCTGTTCACAGTGCCCAGTTTCCCCGTCGTAGAATTACCATCATGCTTATTGTCATCAATATCGATTTTTGACTCTGAGAGCAATTTTCCTTGCACGGCAGCTTTAACAATGACATTGGTCACTGGTAAAGTTCATCAGAACTCTCACCTTCACTGTGGTCGTTATTTTCACATGATTGTGATGAACCTATGTCCTGCAGAATGGTGCGACAGACCGGATGGGCCTGGCAGCATGATCCTGCTGGACGACGACGGTAGAGGAAGGTTCGACGGAGAGTGGAAACGCATCAACACCTTGGCCTACTATCAGGTCAGTAACTACATCCTGAGTAGACACTGTCCAGCAGTGAAGCCGCTTTAGTTGGCCCTGTCAAGAAGCTATGCAACTGCCATGCCACGCTTAATTGAAACGATCGTTGCCAGAGCATGGATGTAGAACAGCAGTTGTCCGGAATGTCCAAATTTAATTGCAGTTACGGCTGCTGAGTGGAGTAGTTTATTTTGTGTACTGAAGAGTGTTTCGTTCATTCATCAGGAATGTATGCTACTGCCACACTAAATTTTTAAAAGTCACATTTTTGTGTACGGCACAGATGTAGCCCCTTTCAGCTGTCATTGAACTTGTGAGGAAAGTCTGTATCAAGTGAGATCATTTAAGCCACCAACAAAAGTTTTAAGGAATAAGAAGAAACAATAGGTTTTATTCTGGCAACTGTAATTGGCCACTTTGTCCCTTCTTTGCTTCTCTGTGCCGTTGATCATTATCATGGAAATGGTGCATTATAAATTTTCAATTATTATTATCAGTATTATTTATTATTATTTGCTCGGGGGATTAGGTACCAGACGGTGCAACCTTGAGGCTAGTCAGAGCCCAGCCCAATGGTGGATCGCTACCTAACACACCAGCAAGGAAATATGGTAAGCTGGACCACTTCAACCCACTAGTAGTCTTGTAGGATTAGAACACATATGTTCTAAAGGTTGAAGATCCAAACAAAGATTACTTCATAGAATCATTAAAGCATGTATCATTGAATTATATTTTAACTCATTGAATTAATGGTAACTTCACAGTATAAAAACCCAGCACTGTCTCTTTGGAGCACGTACAATGCGCGCACATATTTGCACACAATGCCAGTGTGCAGCAAGATAGCCAAAATACCAAATGCCATGTGACTTGCTCCCGGCCAATCAAGGTACAGAATTTGTGGGTAAGGTGTTATGATTGCATGCTGTTCATCGCCACACTGACAGTACCACTTGACCGCCCTCTCTTGTCTGTCCAGGCACGCTGCCTAGCCCGGCTACCTCTTCCTCCCCGATCATTGACCAGGAGAGGGGTGCCACCCTGTGGCACCTGGTCAAGCACGTGGACTCCGGCAGCCTGCGTAAGGGGGAGAGAGACCAGAAGATGATGGCAGAGATCTACCTGCCCAGGCTGCTTACCACCAAGGTAAAGGGAACATCACTGTTCCTCTGGAATACTGCTTTGACATCCTAGATGGGCTTTAACGAGTCGCGTTGTATGTCCGAAAAAGTCCTGCCAGTTTGAATACGTTCACTGAGTGTGAGTTGGCATATAATGGTCTGATAGAGCCAACCTTGTGCGTGTACATTGATGATCTTGCTTCCATGCTTCCTTTTGAGCATGCTCTGTTTGAATTCTGAACTTACTCACTGTGAAAAAAAAGCTCACTCCGCATACTTTCCAGAGTTACTACACTGCTGGGACAAAAGTGCCAGGGATTCGGAGAAAGTGAAGTCCACATGTTAGTTTGCATGTGGTCAGGTATCAAGTACCCAATGAATAAAGAAATTCTCCTGCTATTTGAGCAGTTTGGCCATGTCTGAATGACTTGGCCTTAGCGAGAAATAATTACAATGAGCCCAGAGACAGGGCTAGACTGTAGCTTCTCAGAGATACATGCCTCATATTGCTGGCCTTCATCAAACGATTTGGACAGGGCCCCCATCATCAAACCATGCTTAAATAAAATTTTGTCGAGTTGTTTGTTTCCCTCCTATTACACCATTTCTCCACTTTCCCTCTGTTCATCGTGCAGGGTATCCTTCAGCAGTTTGTGGATGAGCTCCTAGAGACCATCTTCAACGGCGAATCAGATGTCCCCATCGCCGTCAAGTACCTGTTTGACTTCTTAGACGAGCAGGCCACCTCGCAGGGCATCACCAACCCGGACGTGGCACATGCATGGAAGAGCAACTGGTACGCCGTTCTGCCACTGTGCATTACAAAGCCCTATGTCGGTTTTGAATTTCCTTATTCATTTTCCCACTGAAGTCCCAGTTGCATGCGCATCCCTAAATGTGCTCATTGTGCTTGCAAACCAGTGCTAGTGGCGATGCTGTTAGTTGCTGGTGTTTGAGAGGAAACCCACAGAGTGCCATAAAGGTTGAGCTGCTGGAATTGCTGGTCAGCGGTCTCTGGTTCACCTACCAGTTAAGACAGAAATACACTTTAGGTTTTACCACAAAGTAATGTCATTTTTTCAGTCAGATTAAGGAAGTTTCGTAGTGGAACTAGTTGAAGTTGAGAATACTACGTTTGCATTTCTTGTGAAATCTCATTTATTTTCCTCTTCCCCCCACCCCTCCCTTCAACAGCCTGCAGCTACGATTCTGGGTCAACCTGATCATGAACCCCACCGTCCTCTTTGACATCAACAAGACTGACACGGTGGATGCCTGCGTGTCCATCATCGGCCAGACGTTGATCGATTCCTGCTCCGTCTCGGAGCAGCACCTCACCAAGGACTCCCCCTCCAACAAGTTGCTGTACGCCAAAGACATCCCCCAGTACAAGCAGTGGGTGGCCAAGTAAGTTCCGCCCCTCGTCGGTTAAGGGCTTCTTTCCAAACATGACCCGCAGAGCAAGGACATTTCAACTCAAAACACGTTACAGTCTCTGCCTGTTTCAGCCAGGTTCCTGTCCTCTGAGGAACCTGGAAAGCTTGGCATTGTGTTGTGACCTTTGGCACTTACACGCCGTAGTTCATCTTCAGTTTTGCCATCTGTGTACCTTGGCAAAATTGGTTCCACACCCGTGTGAAGCGAATGCATCAGGCTGTACATTTCTAAGTCGCTCAAAATTAAGCCTGGAGTTGGATGTTGGCAGATTTTTGAAGGAGAGGGTTACAAGAACAGCAGGGCGGATGGAGGCTCTGACAGTGTCTGATCTACTTGGCTGCGACTGGAAACCACCAGATAGCGGCTGCAGTCATTCCCCATAGGCTTAAGTGTAATTGCAAGCCATAGCCAATTAATTCACACAGGGCTTCACATTCACTCCCTGATCTGTCACTGAGCTACACTGATTTTTCCTCTGCACTTGCTGTTTCAGGTACTACAAAGACATCAACGACATGCCGTCCATCAGCGATCAGGACATGAGCGCTATGCTGGCTGCTCACACCAACCGCTACCAGAACGAGTTTCAGCCTCTCAATGCGCTCAACGAGCTCTACTTCTGCTACGCTTGCATCTTCAAGAGTGAGGTAGGCTAGAGATAGAGAGTGCTAAGATTTTTATTAAAAAATACTGTGATTTTTTTTTACATCATGGTATGCAACATTTTTGTTCTCACAACCAAGTGCTGTTCCAAACACAGCAGCCACCTCTCCCCTCAGAAGTAGTAATATATCCACGGGTTGAGAGAATCAACTTCAGAAGATTATCTTGCTCAAGAACACAGGTCTCAACCCCACTGTTGTGGGTTGAACCTACAGTTGGCTGAATCAGCAACAAGGTCTTGAGTTACTAGCACCTGATCACGAACAAGAAGAAGTTACAGAGATGATTGACGAGGTATCACCGGTGTTGCGGTCAAGTCTGCCATACACGTCCTTCCACAAGTCCAGCCGCAAGGCCTTGTGCATGTGACATGTTTTTAATTTGGCTTGATAACTCAACACATTGTATTACATCTATTTACTGGCCAGGGTCAGCCATTCTAATCTTCTTTTCCTGCCTCATTTCCCAACGCGTCAACAGATCCTCCAATCCCTTGACGAGGACAAGGAGGCGCAGAGGCAAGGCTTAGGAGACAAGCTGGAGGACATCTTCCGTCTGATGGCCGACTCGGCCTGACAATTAATGAAGGAGTCCCAGGTTTGATCAGTACGCATCTTCTTTCCGGAATGACAACCCAACCCGATATCCTCTTCTTGTCGTGCCCCCAATTGGGATCAGAAACGGACCAAGTTTGTTTTTATCAGAATTTGTTTCAAGTGAATTGGATTCAATTCCGGTGTGAACTCTATCCAGTTATGGCCCATTTTCACAGTATACCGTTTATTACTCACAGTACCAATTTGGAATTGAAAAGTCAACAGGTACTAACACTCACAGTTGCTTTTTCCCTAATTTCAGTCAGAAATTGATGCCATTGACTTTTTGTTGAGAGTATATATCTTTCTAGATGATTTTTTTAGGGGGGCGGTTAAAGCTGCTAATCATCACCAATGGAATGTACTAAAGCAGAAAGATGCAGCCATTGAATGTTGGGAAATTTAAAGGTGAAGAAAAGTGAATAAAAACAAATTGAAAAAATTAGAAATATTGAGGGGAGGATATATATACACCTCCAATATTTACTCGTGTATATGAAGCTTTGTAACTTGTTCTACGATGCAAGATTCTGAAAAGAAATTTGAAAAAAGTGTAATCAAGACCCCGACAATGGGACTGATGCAATTTTTTTTTTAATAGTGTTTTGCCGATGTAATCTGAAGTATTTTATGATAAACTCCTGTTTATTCCAAGAGTATGGTGGTTCTGAAATCGTCCGTTGGTCTCTTCGGGTTTGTAGGAAGGTGCAGTCAAATCTTGGACTCCTTCGAGTTCGTAGTCGGTATTTTGTTTGTTTTCTAAGTTATTCTTGTAGTGTGTCAGTCTTTGTTTGGTTCCTTTGCGGTTGTTTTTTTCCCCACATCGTAGAGTTGTGTACTGGCACATTCTGCCAATGGGGAGAGACTTTATTTCTGGACTGGCTTTACTGAATTATTTAGGGTGTTCATGTGTGTGAATGACAGTTTAGAATCGGAGTGTCTGCCATTCAGGTCAGACAATCGACTTGGACTGTATCATTATCGTACATGGCAAGATGTGATCTATGTTCAGGCATTATGAGCTACTCTGTGATTTCAACCTGTCAGCTTCAGTGGTTTACATTGGTCTGTACCATTATTGAGATGGTAGTGTGATTCAGATAAGCACATGAATAGGGCGTCAGTGAAGGCTTGGAAACAGGTTCCTATGACGCCCAAAAGCTATGCAAGTAACTGATGTTGGCATATAAATACAACACAATTAACATGTAAGTAGGTATCGCAGTAAGTTATTGTTCGCATGAGTTATATTTTTTACTCTCTTGTCAGTACATGAAAATGTTTTGTCTTCCTAACTTGCTGTCACATGGAACTAACGGTGAAACAAAGGTTGGTTTACTTTGGCGTAACCATGTTATGGATAAACTTGGAATTGTGCTGTGTTTAAACAATTATAAATATACAGGAATTACATGTTGGTATATCAGTATTTGCAAGTCTATTAATGTGAAAGTGCTCACACGGAAAGTCACTTCCATGTATTAACACTGTTGTACTCATTCAAGTTACCGTGTGTCTATGCAAGTAGCTGTAGTATTTATACACTTTATACTCCTTCAGATGAATTCCGTTGAACATTGCTGTACATTTTGTGAGCTGTGTAGCATGCAGAGGCTTAATAACAAATTCAGCGCTTAATTCTGAATACGGGCGATTCACAATAGTGCGCCACCAAGAATTTGCAGCACATTGGCCAATCATAACGCGCGAAATTTGTCGACCCTTTCCAAACGCGCATTGGGTCGACAAATTTCGCGCACTGTGATTGGCCAACGTGTTGCAAACTCTTGGTGGCGCACTATTGTGAAACGGCCGTATTGAAACAAACACCAGAGTATTATCACATGACAAAGATGCGCAACGGTTTGTCAGTGAAAGATTCCCTGTAAGCACAAAACAAACACATTCACTTTTCTTTTACATGGTTACCGATGCTTCAGTTTGGGCATGGCCTATAATAGACTGAGCTTGAGCCGGGGTACCAGTCAGGCCTCTCCGAGATCATAATTACTGGGTTTGAGAACAGGAGACTCCTATTTCAGTTCTGAAATGGCTGTAAATATAAAACCCTCCATTAGAACTTGGAAAATCTGAAATTTGCACCCACCATTGTTCATCGCTTGCTTCAGGGTGTAAAAAAAAAAGTTTTGAAGGATGTACAAGTTTGTCAGAAATAAGTACATGTACATGCTCTGTTCTCATGACAGAGATTTTGCTCAACCTGGGCATGTTACAGCATTGAGCTATGGCTGTAAACTGCCCTCAGTGCTTAGTTGCATTCCTTCCACCTTTTTGTCCCCAGGATCAAAAACACCTGCCTATGTGAAAATAGGGAACTCACTGATGCTACTGCCTGTTTGACAGGCAACACCGGCATCACTGCGATGTAAAACTGGCTGAACTGTATAACTTGAGATATTTCTGAGTACTCTTTTACGATTATGCACATCGGCAGAGAAATACTTGTACTTTCAAGTGATAGCGGGTTGTTCTTACTTACATATTTTCAGTCATTTATATTTTGGTTCCACAGCTTTGTGTTTTTTTTTTTTGGACAACTGCATGACTAGAAATATTCGAGAAAAATTATCTATGAAAAGAATTATTATTGTAAATGTATTGTAGGTGTAAAATTTTTAATAGAAGTCAGAAAGTGTTGCCGTCTCATTGTCCAGGTAACAACTATGGTCGTGGATATTAACTGGAGATTTGTGTCTATATGTTTAGATGAGTTCAAGACTTATACTTAAAAAGGTATATAAAATCCAGAAGTTATGCAATTGTAGACTGAGAGAGTAAGTATTGCTTCGTTCTGTACATACTTGTGCTACACCAATTACTAAAACCAAATTGTATATTATGCATCTTCTGAATGACTATCCTATTATCGTTGTACATGTACTTCCAGTTGTTATACTTATGCTGTGTATGAACACAATCTGTACTTACTGAATCTCTGGACGAGGATGTATTTTTTACCAATTTCCACATTTCTACATTAATTGCAGGTATTTTTTAAGAAATGAATTGACTGGTTCTCATTCCTTTACCATTCCAACTTGCTTAAATTAAACGAAGTCATTTTATCCCAGCATTTTGAAGTCACTTTTTTTTTAAGGAAATGACACTGTAGAAAATAGGTTTTGCATTGTTTGGATCATTTGTTCAATTTCTCCCATTTAACTACTTGTACTGTGTGCAACTGCATTTCACTTGGTTTCAATCTCATGTATTTACAACACTTGGTGACCTTAGAAGGAAAAGAACACTATGCCAAGTCGTTCACTGTTTTGTTACCATGCTTTGTCAAGATTTGACCAGTTGTCATTTAAGCCCAGGTAATGAGTATCCATAGTACATATATGTAATGTTCCCGTGCAGTGAATATGCATGTGCTTGGATCTGCGGATGGTTTCTGCCATGGTTTTGATGTAGAACTTTGCTGATCTAAGTGAAATATTGATGGTATGGAGCCAGGTTTCTGAATTCAGTGAACAAAATTAGCGACTGAACAGGTTTTGAATGATGACAAGGTTATCTTAAATTTGTCACAGCAGTCTGCTTAGCAAAATAAGTTTTAGCCGCCAGAGCAAGGAATTCATCTCATGCGCAGCAGAATCAGATTAGTACAATGTTATTAGTACTTGGGGTGCTGTAATTTTCTCCAGACACCATTGCAATGTTAGTCATATTGCACACAGGACTATTCAGGAAACTTGAAAATTTATTTTTAGACAATTTCAAAGTTGATACTTAAGTTAACAATTGGTGGAGTTGTTTTTTTGGGGGGGCTTGTAGAGAAGGGATTTTTTATTCAGTTTATTACTGAACATGTTGAAACCACCGGATACCGTTTGACCAAGCATTCAATTGATTTTTTTTCATATTTGTGTTTGAGTTTCTTTGTGCTGTTACAGCTTAATCTTAGCTTCATTATTGGTTATTTTAATGTTGAATCAACAGCTGTATATTTGCGTATTATGAGCACCTTACGTGCACATTATTTTGGCTTTTACTTGGACGAAATATATATTTTTGCTACTTGTTCACACTTTGCTGTTCTAAAGTTGTAACTCTTTGCCTGAGGTACTCCGACATTTCAGGTTACGGGCAAAGAGCTGAGGTGAATTTTTTTTTCATTAAAAACAAAAAGCTTCTGAAACTGCATTTGATTGGTTTTTCTCTCAAGTGGGTTGCTTTACTCCATTATCACATTTGTCAAAAAGCCCCAAATCCCTGTCAGTATTGTACTTGGTAAAATGCATCATTTGTATTCATTGGCATCAATATCTCTATGGTTTTGTCATACAATGGAAGTATGTTAGAATACACTTGTACCAGATTTCATCTTGCTCACAAGCACAAGACAAACAGGTGATCTGGGGCTTTGCACCAGCCTCCACAAATGCACACTCACAATGCACGCTTGATTTTATTGGTTGTACTTTACTGTTTTCATCTCATTTCACAAAGCAATGTTAATTAAGTCCATCTGGTCACAGCTATTTTATATGTGATGTACAAAAATCGAAGGCAGTGAAGCACAGACACGGCTATTTCAACACTAACCCCAACGTTTAGACATTTGTTGGGAAATTTCTTCTTGGTGTTCAACACACACCCCCCCAGCATTACTAGGAAAAACCTAGCCAATGTCGAGTCTAAATTGAATGCTGCAGTAAATCAGTGGCAGTGTACCATCGCAAATAAGACACCGGGATAATACTGACAAGAACCTGAGTGTACACTAATCTGAGGAAATGCCGTTCCTGTGGGCCATCACACTCATGCACGAGCCTAACTTGAGAGTGTCCACTTACAACATCCTGTTGGTCTGAGAGAAATGTAACGCCTGCGTACCACCTGCCGGCGAACAGGATGGCTACGCAGTAATGGCTTGTCATTCTTGCACCTAGATTAGTTTATAGGTTGGGCAATTTAGGAAAGTTAAGATCAGTGGATAAGAGTCTTGGCATACACAATGCCAGTCAGCTGCCAGTGTTGAAATCACCACTTATGAAAATCAAGTACAACACAGACCTGCCCTCCAAAGCAGATTTCTAACAACCTAACATGATTTCGACCGTCCTATTTGCCTTTGTTTGACCAGTTCTAAAACTAACACAAAAAGTATTTCTTTACTTATGGTGTGTTTTACTGTTACAGTTTTTGAAAAACCTCTACTAAAATAAATAAAATACGAAATGAACGCACAGCAACACTATTTGGATTCACGGATATAAAAAGGTTTTGATGACAAGACCCAAACTACATTCATTTGGTCAGTGCCACACATTTGGCAAAAATAGTTGCAGGACTGTTTCATGTCTGAATGCAGCATTGTTTGTATTGAATACAATGTCCTTCAGCATCTCATCATGGAATGTTTGTTGGCGCTGCTGTCTGCACAGATGTGCACGACAAAGGAATGCTGAACATGTAAGTAAAAGTATATTCTGACCAGAGGCACAGCTTGGGGGGGGCGGCTTAGGGGATGCATACCCCTCTCGCAAAAAAAATCATCACTCCCCAGTTTCTCCCCTTCCTCAAATACTTGCCCTCGAGTCATCCTCCCACTGGAAATTTGGAAAACGAAGAAGGCAACAGTAGTACAAAAATACTGAAAGTCTTGCCCACTCGCACCATCCTGCTTTGTTAATGCTCACCTAAAAGCGAGCATGTAGGCTCCGACAAATTCAAAACTGAAGGTTTTTGTGAGAGAGGTCCGCTAAGCCTTTGTTCGAGAACACAGCCGAGTCTGAAATCGGAGTGGTAATCTCCATTTTGCACAGAATTCTGCATGAGGAACAGCCCCACTTGAATTCGCTCCTGAGAACCAGTCTATGTCAAACAGTCTTAGGCCACGACGGGGGGTAACACATCTAATGTAGCCACTACGCGTGCACGTTACCGCCAGCCACAGCCAAGACGTTTAGATGCAGCATAAGATGATTGGCACTTGTAATGCATTTACCCTCCAATACATGTTCATTCATTCAGGCTCTTTTGAAGATTTCCATGATTACAGACGGGCGTCCTGCTTAGTTCTCCTTGTCTTCGTCACTGCGAGGAGACAGGATGTCGGTCCGGGTGCTGAGGGGAGCATCCCCTAGAAGTGCATCCATCTGGAGTTTCTGGTTCTCGTTCAGGTCATCCAGGCGACGGCGAATCATCGACAAGTCTTCGTGGTGGAGCCTCTCCTGCACAGGAAAGGACCGAGAAAATGTGAGTGCTTGGCAGGAAGTGGAATAAATCAATCTTTTCTGTCTTCCTCTCTGCCACATAATTTACAGCTATTCTCTTCGGTTGTTTTCATGTTATCCATCTCTGCATAGTCGCGACCCATGGGGGAGGCCACGCCAACCCCTATGGGCGTCACACAGACCTGAGTTCAATTCAGTGTATGCTTCTGACTTATAAGGGCTGTGGAGGAGAGATCAGTTTTTAAAAATTCATTCCCGTGGTGTATTCGGCAACATAGGACCATACCTTTTCCTTAAATACAGCTTTTCATGACCGCAACAATTTGGGAAAAATGAAATATATCTGGAACAACATGTGCAAAATGATTTTCACAGAGAGGCACTTTTTCAAGTGTACGGTCAACAAAAACATGGCAAAATTTGCATTGAGTGAATGCCATTAGACAACTTGAGGAAATTTTGGAGTGATCAGGTCATTCTGTCCAATAGAAAGATGATTAATTAAAACTTCTAATCAACAGACACTAACAAATTTACCTTGATAACAACACAAAGAATAAAGTTCCCCACGTGTAGCTGGCAAATAGAATATGCCAACCCTCTCCCTTGATGCCCTGCAAAAAAATGGCCTCTCCATGGGAAGCTCTTGGTGGCGCACTGTACTGTGAATTGGCTGTGTTTTTACTTGAACTAGAGAAGCCCTTTTCTGCTTGATTCTAGTCCCTTGCGTCATTTCGTTCTCAGAGTACCCCCTCATTTACCTGCTCCATGGCTGCTTTCACAAACGGCGTGGACGCGTCTACTGGTCCCGTTACGTCAACCAGCGGCAAGGTGGCATTGGCTCCTGCCAGGAGGCTCCTGAACTCGGTGTGACGACGCTGCAGGTCCCTCAGTCGCTGCACCGCCTTGGCGTAAGTCTCCTTGGGAATTTTATTCCTGCCATCCAATTTAAAAAAGGGAAAAAAAGTTGGAAACATACTTGCAGTCTCCATTCCCAATGAACGGTTCTGCAAATTCACCAACAGGGCATTAAGAGCAGTCTGAGTGTTGTCATTCTGACAACATCTGATATATGTCTGTATGTCACATGGCCCTGGGTGCTAACCAGTAAGAGTTGACTTTGGAACTGCTGACGTTTGTCCAGAAATCTGCTAAAGGCTGCTAATTAGTTGATATACATGTATGTCAGATGACCATACTATGTCAGCTGACCATATCAGCTGACCAGGTTTAGGCAGCCTCCACGGAAAGCGTTTGTGTTTAAGTCTGAATCCATCTCGGCTCCCTGGAGAGTATACCAGCCCGATGCTGCTATTCAAGGCACAAAGGGCTAAACATAACAACCACATCTACCCTCACAGGTACCCATTTACTCATGGGAGGAAAGAGGCACATAGGGGTAAAGTGACTTGCCCAAGATCCCAACATGCTGCCACCAGCTGGATTCGAACCCCCTACCTTATGATCGGAAGCTACAATTTCGAACCACAAGGCCACATGCTCCCATTGTCAGTCCAAGCAAGACACATTTCACAAAGGTGTACCGAACTCTTTCAGTTACACTGTGAATTTGAGAAGTATCTGAGTAACCAGCTGAGTGTTCATGCCCAGCTTAAAATGACATTGCCACTCGCGTCAGGACTTCCATACTTTTATTCTTCCATGTACCGCATTATGAGTGCCTCTTCCATATCGATATCACCCTACCTGAGTGCCTGCTTTTCCAGTTTCAGCTCTTCTTTCTTCGCCTCTAGTAACTGCACTTTCTCCTTCAGGTGGTCCACCACTTTCTGGTACTTCCTCTTTTTCTGTAGGATATCAAAAGCCCAAAAGTCAGCGCAAAATAGACTGCATGAAAACAGAGTCAACAAACACTGCTCAACCTCGAGCATTTGCTTCAAGCATAGGATCCAGTCCAAAATGTCAAAGACAGCCTGGGGTTTGTTATATTCAGTGGAATAAAACCAAGAGGCGTCAAAAAACAACATCTTAATAATGTTCAGCGTCTCAGGACACAAATGCTTGTCTCTTTTTCCCCAAACTAATTTTTGGCTCAAAATTACTAAATACTATTTCCTGCTCAGCACATCTGTCTGTACGTCTGAGTTAATGAACCCCATCAGGGAAATGTTGATCTCCAGGTTTCTTTGGCATGAAACGACTGAGATGGCAGTTCATCACTCCATTTATATTCTTGGGTAGAAAAAGGCATGCAGGAATGAAGTGATGTGCCCAAGGCCAAAACTTATGGCTAGCAGCTGGAATTAACCGTGTCAAAGGTCCAACATTATTAGGCCTCAATCCTCTTGTCATTTGAGTCATACGAAGCAAGTAACTGTACAGCACATGCCACTCACTCTTCTCAGGTTCTCACCTTCCGATGCATCTGTGCCATCTCCTCCATCCTCTTGTGCCCCGCCCTGATCTCTGCTTCGAGCTCCTCCACCCGGCGCTCCACCTGCAGCCTCTCATCTCCCAGGGATGCCTTCTGCTGCTCCAGCCTGGCCTGGGCTGCCTCCAGCGTCCTCTCGGCCTCAGCCCTGGCCGTCCGCACCTCGTCCCTCAGCAGGTCGCCGGCCGTCCGGAGCCGGTCGTTCTCGGATGTCAGTTCCTGCTCGGCGGCCTGCAGGCCGTGCAGTTCCATGGTCGTCTGCTGGAGCTGTTGCTGCAGGTCCTGGCACTGGGACTGCTGTTTCTCCAGCTCTCCGGCGAGGGTGTTGCGATGGTCGATCTTTGCCCTAAACAGGATTTACAAGCCACTCAGTAAATATCCTGAGATCAAATACTTCAATGTGTATAATATGAGCACACTATTTGCACTTGCATACCAGAAACTCAAAGGCTAACCTATCACACTGCTTGAGCCAATGAATGCTTACACACTTGAACATATGCTACGGAGAAGGGTCCAATCCCATCATTCAGAATCAAGAGGCTTTTGTGTGTCTGCTGCCCTCAAGCAAGTAATGCCAAAAACAAACATAGTTCTGCTTCCCAATACATGCCTCTAACGAATAGGGTCAACGGGTCGGAAATATATGAATTGAATTGGGACAAAATTGAATGAATTGGGACGAAAGCTACCAAAAACTGCCCCAAAAAGTGATACAATTTGCCTTAATCTATGTAAAAATTTCGACAGTCAACAATGCTTGCGAATTATGGACAATTTATTCCACTATGCCCAATGCTAGTCAGGTTATCATGACAGCAAACAGGCCAACGATGTCTGTGCATGTCTGCGTGGTAAGCGTCAATGATGCATCCAGATGGGCGGGCAAAAACCTCATGCGGCGGCAGGAAATTTTGTGGAAGCACACTCACTTCAAGTACGAGCAAAACAACCTCAAATTTATCTTGTGAAAATAGAAATACACACACAGAACAACAGACTAAATTCTGTGAATTAACCTGCAGAAATCTTCTTGCAACATTGATGTTTTTTCGACGTGCGGCTGCAGGGTTGCGTGCGTGTGCGGCCAGAGTAGTGTAACGACACCATTAGTTTAGACTGGTTGCCACATTTCCATCCTGGGTTCTTTGCATCTCATGGCAGGAACCAGCGCAGCATTGCTTTAATTAATGCATTGAGCTTTGAGCACATGTTTTCATCACTGCGACAGCCAAGCGCCAAGGGAAAATAACAGAAGTTTCTTTACAAGGTTGCAAATGTAAGCAGGAAAACATATCAAAAAATAAACAAAACAAATATAAAATAAAAAGTTTTAACATGATAAAAAGTTGTTCAGAGGTGATTTGTAAAGACAGAGAAGACAACAGGGTTTATTTTTGTACTTATTTAAAAAAAATTATAAATTCATTTTTCTAACTTAATGATAAAAATTTTAGGGTCACGCCAAAAAATTAGGGTTGGTCTGGAAAGCGGAAGCAAAAGTTTTTTTTTGGCCTAATCCATCCTCCATTAAATGACAAAAGCAGGCTCACCTGAGGGCAAGCATATCCTTCTCTAGCTGATCTCGCCTCTGATTGGCTGCTTTCACTTGCTCCTCCCACTTTTCTTTCTCAGTGTGCCGTTGGGATTCCTCTTCTATCTTAAGCTTGTCAAGTTCATGAAGTCTGGCCTCTAATTCCAGGCTGTACAAATCATGACACCAAAAGCTCAAAATGATGTCAAAGATTGATAAAAAGTGGAATGAAACAAAGCAGAGTAGACAACTGTCTATGAAGCTTGAATTTTGAAACCCCAAAATAGAAAATATTAATCACTTGAAATGCTGTTTCAAATCATGCACTGTTAACTCAATTGTTGACACTAGTTACAGATCCTTGTCCACTTCAAACCTTATCTGCTTTGTGAGTGACTACATTTTGTATGCATATGTATACACCACTAAGTACTAGCAACTACGGGCTGATTTGCTACTCTGCACTTCTTCCTGGTCCAAGAGATCCAGTGTTAACTCTATGAATGAGGACTGCTTCAAGTTATGACGACTTCACACCTGTGAACCAGACTGGCGGCTCTTGCACTATCAGGCAAGTTATGCCATGGTCTCAAAGACGTGTGCGGATAGAAGGAATCTTTGGCCCCACCGACTGATGGACCGAGTCCTTACTTCTGCTGCTCCAGTTTGCTAATCTTCTCCCACTCTTCCTCTCGGGCCGCCTGGACGCGGCGAGCGGCTTCCTTCTCCTTCTCTGCAATGGCCTGCGTCTGCATCTCGGAGGACTTCTTCAGAATCTCCAGATTAGATTGACAACCTGGTCGTTCAGTTGGAAAAAAAATGTTTAAACCCCGACACCATGACCTGGTTAAAGGACGATAAAGTTTTGGGTACTTGAATCTATCGCAGCATTGTCTTGAAGCGCTAACACACACATACATGTGTGAATGGAAAGATCTGACAGTGACACAAGAGCAAAATGGTAAACTTTTCCACGCCAAAGTCCAGCTACATCCTCTTCCTTTGATTCATTCCATTCTGAACTTTATCCCGTCTATGTTCCAAACCCTAGTTCCAAGATTCAACCCAAAGACTTGATCTAATTTCAGTTTTATTCTTTGTGCACTTTCCAGCTCTCAGGACATCTCTCATTCCATTACAAATTGCTATCTCCAGTTCCCTTCAGTTCCGTCACTGCTGTCATAAATCAATCCATCTCAAAGCAGCTATGGCCTTAACCTCAACTCTGGCCAATTTCTGCAGCCTGCTGACAGCTACCCATGTGTGTCAATGATTAACTTTCTCACTTTAATCTTGCACCCTGGAACTTCTGTCACCAGGCCTCAACCTCCAAGAAAGCCTACACCTCCCAGAAACTATGACCAAATCACTGCTAAGCTTATTTTGCACAAGGCCAAAAAAAGAAATTATCTGAGAACTGTACTGTCCGTGCTAAATGAATTTCTACACTTAGCAGCTCAAAGAATCCTCCCAAATGTCTCTGCCTTACCTTCCAGCTCACTGGCCAGGGCATCCCTCTCCCTCTCCAGTTCTCCCCGGCTCCTGACCATTTCCATCCTTAACTCAGTCACTTCCATCTTGCGCCGGTGCTCTGCCTCCTCCAGCTGACCCCTCAGCTCCATGGTGCGCTTCTCGGCGTCATGCGCCTTGGTGGACGCGGCCTTCTGGCCGTCCATGGCGGCTCCCAGGTCACTCTCCAGCTGCTCGATGTGGAGTTTGAGGGACTCTTTTTCAGCCTGCGAAGACAAAACCGAAGCCCTTTCTATGTACAGAGGAAATACGATCATGTCACTGAAATCTGACTTGCGCAATTCGTTATTCCCGTATCCTCTTAGAGATTTTAAACATTTCATGGAAGTCTGACTGTTACCAGCATGTTGACTGGTGCTGTGGAAAGTGACGAAAGGAGGGTCAAGTTAAGGAGAGGACAGAAAACAAGTTACAAGAGGGATGCTGATGTAGTGTCAACACCAGTGTTAGCTATCTGTTTAGTGGACAGGGAAGACTGGAATCACCAAAGCAGATACCGCCTGTGGGCAACGTAACAACAAGAAACTGGACTGTAAAGATAGGCCACAGAGACTTTACTCTAAAACATAACGCCCCTTGGAAGTTAAAGATAATGGCACAGGTTTGGCCCACAAAGTAGGGGTTTGGAGGATCCAGAAAAGGATCCTATCCAAAATGCTTGGGCGATAAGGCTAATAATATCATCGTCATCTCTTCCTCAGGCTTGGGAACATGAAAAGGAAGCAGTGAGATTTCAGAAGGGAAGTCGGTGTCGGTTCAGACAAAGATGTCACAGGCAGAAGACACAGGAAGGAAGCGTAATTAAAAGCACAGACAAGGGAAGGAAGAAAGGAAGATGGATAGTTAGCTGATGCAGACTGAATATATCACAGATTGACATCATTGCAAGGAATGTAGGATACAGTGATTTAGTAGTAAAAAGTCTCTCAGTCGTAAACGGTCCGTTGGTAGGAAATAGTCCCTGGAGTGTATGGAGGTTCAGACACGTAATGAGTTCTTCCCAGTTCCCACACTGTCATCTTACTGCGCTGGCCTTGATAGTAAATGGTCCTTTGGCACTCTATGATTTAGTAGATGGTCCCTCAGTAGAAAATGGTTTTTGGAAAGTTTTGGGGTTCAGACACTTTTCCAAATTTCTTCCCATGCTGTTTGTGTGCTTACCTCCAGTGCCTTGATGGTAGCTACATGCTCCGTTAGCTGGCGTGCCTGTAATCTTGACACGTGGTCTGACTGTAAGCCGGTCTGTTCTCGCTGGACGCGGATCTCTTCCAATTCAGTCAAAAGCCCTGGAGCAACAAAAATTTAAATATACATTAGGTCATAATCAATACTCATACTCTGTGCAAACTTTGAAAGATTCCTGTAAGGGGAGCAAACCTGAGTCATCAGGGTGCTGTCAAGACGACAGGTCATTTCCATGGGTGTCAACCTTGGACTCTGTTTACCTTTGACTTTCAAGTGAAGCTGGGCATTGTCTCGTTGCAGGGTGCGGACTCGCTGACCATCGTGGGTATTGTCCTGAGAGAACTTGGCAATAATGGCCTCTTTGTCTTTGTGCAAGTTTTCAATCTTTTGGGGAAAAGAAGTAACAAAAAAATAACTCTTGAAGTAGGGGACCAAAAAATACAGCGTGTCTGCAGAAACATGGCGTAAGCACATAACTGTCCAATTAAAACGTAAAAATGTCAATGTAAGGGGGACGCTCTTGGTTCAATGCTGCTTTCTTTATTCAAAGATATTACCCAATGAACAAAACCAATCAAATTTGAGTTCCACTGCCTAGTTGTGATCACCAGGTCTATTGAAATAAGTAACGCTTTTCACCTGTGCAATTTAATCGCAAAACAGACAGTACTATGCACTGACACATGCTAGGGAATAGCCCTTTTTTTGCCCTGAAGGGAGTGCAGATGATCCCTGACTTCTCACCACCTGGAAATTACCTCCGTCTCATACTGCAGTTTCATCTCCTCCACCACGCGCTTGTGCTCGGCCGTCTCATGCTCATACTCGGACTTTAGGAAGGAGTGCTCGTAGCGCAGCTTGTTGTACTCGCTGCGGTAGTGCTCCAGCTCCTCTTCCAGTTTGTTGAAGCGTTCCCTGAAGGGCTCCTCCAGGCTCTCAGCGATCTGGACCTTCATCACTTCCAGCTTCTCCGGCGTGATTGTCTGCCAAACAGATCGATAGTTACACTGGCTCTCTCAGAGAGTGTCCCTTTACAACTACAGTCAAACGTGCATGAGTGTCCACGAGCCAATTGAATCAAACCAAAATTGTCAAACTTGACCTCAGTTTCAACGAGAGGCCCAGTGCAATTCATTTGATAGCAGTTCATTTGATAGAAGCAACTGTTTTAATCTTGTCTGACTTTCATCCATCTCAGCCATGGAAACCATCATTCCCACTCTCTCTGTTGAGTTTGATTATTTCTCCTAGGAAAGGGTTGCAAATCTGATCTGGCCACCACAATTCTCTAAGGCTGTGCCGAATATCTAAATTTTCAATCGATTGTAGAAGTTATTTCCAAATTTGAATATTTGAATTCAAAATTCAGTAAAAGGAAGGGAGAATTTTCTTTTGTTTTAAAGTTAAAGGTTTGAGTTAAACTTGCACTATGGAGGCTTCTTTCAAGCAGATTCATATGAAAAGTGACAGAAATCTTACAACGATATCTTACAATGATTCAAAAAGTAGTTAATTCATCAAGAATTTTAAAAAAATTTATTTAAGGTACAGAAATTCTCAAAAGGGCAAGAAATATTGTTCGGCTCTTAAATCTTGCTAAATAATGGCTGGTGATACTCCTGGAAGTGAGAAGCTATGACAGAGATTATAATGTAAAATTGTGTGTGTCACTGCAACATATGGTGTAATCATCAAAAATCTGCAGGCCGGTAAGACCGAATATTCAGATATTCGATCAAATAGAAGGTCGAATATTCGAATAGTGAATCATTCAAATTGACTCAGTCCCACAATTCTCAACTTCTATAACCACAAACAAATTTTACCTAAAACACCTTTCCACCCAGACAGTTTCAGTTTCTGGGATGGACTTGTCTTCAATGAACATGCAAGGTGAGGTGGAAGCTTTTCTGTTTGGTGATGAACGCATAAATGGCCAGATAAACAACTCTTGCCTTTTCCTTTGTGTCCGCAGATGTTTATACAGGTACCTTCCTTCTCTTAGTCCACTTAAAATCCGCCAACCTTTCTCTTCCTAAAATCTCTGGACGCTTCCACATTCACCTTCCCAGTCCCCAAAAGAATGAATACAGCATATCTGACAGTGAGGAGAGCTTGTCTTCACAGGTTCACAAAGGAAAGAGCATACCTGAGTTTTGACTTCCTCTAACTCTGTGATCTTCTCGGCCAGCTCTTTGCTCGCCCTGGCCATCAGCGATTGGAATCGGCTTTCCATTGCCGCACCCCCCTCCTTGGTCTGTTCAAAGTCTCGCTGTAGACGACGGTGATCATCCTGAAGTCTGGCGACAAAATTCAAAATGTACGCTGCTTCAAACTCCAATATTTTTTAGAACTGACATTTCAAGCATTTACAGCTCAAGACTTCCTAACAATTTCAACAACCTCAAGTATTTCAAGTTTGTTTTTATGAGCTTTCTTCACAAAAATGAAGTCACAACTTCAGTTGTATGAAGGGTCACTCCATGAGATTAGGGTACAATTTGTGACGGTGTCCTTGTTACATCCGCAACTTTTACCACCTGTCATGACCTGTAGAGTAAGTCATTTACTCTGTAAAAATAATACACACCTCTGTATTCAGCCTTTCAAGATGTATAACAATGTCAGTTTTGAAACCACATGCATGGAAATGGCTGTTCATTTTTATAGAACCGATGGACATGTAACTGACACCATCACAAGTTGTGTCCCAACTTCATGGAATGACAAATAAACATGATGCATCAACTGTCCTTTCCAAACAGAATAACAGAAACAAAAGCGTGCATACTTTGTTGCTTATTTCTATAGAAACAATGCCAACTCTAAGCTATACTGGCATGGTTGGTATGCTGCCTGCACTCACTTTGTGTGTTCAGCCTTCAAGGTCTGGTAGTTGGTCTTGTGTGTCTCACAGCGCATTCGCTCGTCGGCCAGCATTTTCTGCAGGGCTCCTTCATTGGCCAATTTAGGCAAGGTCTGCGATAGACCTGTCTCCTCCAGCCCTGCTGATGTCATCGTTGGGAAGAGGCTTGGTCCTGGTGTTGCCATGGTGAATATGCCACTGGCCTGTGTGCATCATGTAAGTGAATTTCAAAGGCCAAATCTGACAAATAAGCTGTGTGCCAAAAAAGCAGCATGTGTAAGCAACAAGTACTTGTTTTCTATAATTCTAATTTTCTTACTTGTCAAATTTAAAATTGAAGCCTACGGTGTGCTGTCATAAAGGGAGGCTACTACATGAAGGGAGCCTACCAGATAAGGCTTGGTCCTAGTGTAAGGTTTGTAAAAACCTTACAGACAAGTAAACCTTGCCTACACAAGGTTTGTGCTATTTCGATTTGTGCATCAAAATTTCATACATCCTTCTTGGTGAGGTTAGAGTCTCCAGGGGAGGTTTATTACCTTACATCTCATTAAATTCATGAAATTTACGAATGTTTTGCCCATCCACACCATGAAAGATTGACAGCATTTAGGACTACATGTACTCTCTCAATCATCAGCACCATGATAGCTTGACCAATAGTAGACCAACCAATGCAGATTGTCAAAGGATGAGAGGTGATGATGATAGGAAAGACCTCATTTTTTTCCAGTTTCATATAGGTTAGTTATTATTTATAGGGTCTTTAGGGGAAGATTTGCTTCAAAAAGTGCAAACGAAGGTTTTCTCTGGTATGATTGCATGGCACTTTTCAAAATGCCATAGCATTCGAAACCATCAAAATGATGGACCGAGTAAGGCCTACAGAGTAGTGCCTTACTATTCAGGAAGTAGGTAAGGCCTAGGCCTTGGGAATTGGACTAGAATGTGTGTACATACATGTACTGTAGCTTACGGTGCATGTATGAATACCCCTAACTCTACTGAGTGAAGCCTTGGAATTCCTCTTTTTTTTTATTTTGGACGGGATCGTCATACTAACGCTCCATGCCTGTACATATAGTTAAGGTGAAAATGGTTCTCAAAATTCCAAAGATTCGCCAAAAATACCTCTATCACCACCTACTGGCTTCCGTAAATCACTAAATGCCAACGACAAACGGTTGTGGCGTCAATGATATTTCTGACTTCGAAATCTGTAAAAATCCAACCTTTTTCGCTCGACACACGCACAGCTCTTAAACTTTTTGCCGCCTGCTCCTTTCAAATGCATGAATTGAGATTTTCACGTTTTAAATTAGACACAAAAATAGATAAGCCTACATACATAATAAAGCCAAGCTACGAAGACTCCGATCAGGTGCCCTGCATCAAATCGTTCGAATGTGACAACAGTAAACTATTATTAGCTGGTACCCTTCATACTTCCATTTTCATTTCACGTTTTTGTTTTAGCTCGACGAAGAGTACCAGCGAAATGGTTGCATGATTATAAACTCGTCACCAGTCGATTGGAATGTTAGATCCAAGCAATTCCGTCATTTTGGAAATAACGGAAAGAGTTCCATATACGGATATCACTTGACACCCCGCACACAAACCTTATGAGATTAGTCTGAAAATTCTAAATGTTTTTAAATGAATCATTCAATATTTTCACAGCTGAATTTGACTTGTACAAAAGTTGTAGGTCGTGTTATCACTTATAAACGACTGAGGAGAAAGCGATGTCCGTATATGGATGGAACTCTTACCCAAATAATTTTTGGAAGTTTGCTTCCTTTTACCACCAATTAGAATAATCTCGAGAAAACAAACTTTCTTTGTTTTGATTGTTTCCAATCCTTCCCCTTTGATCCCCTCACAAAGTCAAGAAATATGTATAGCGCCTCCTGTTGATGAGTGTTTGGTACCCAACTATTTTGGAACCTGCCTGCTGGTGAGCGCACGGGCACGTAAACAATAAGTTGGAGTTTATCTGGGCAAGACACAAGACTCTCCACGGTCTAGGTAGTCGTGTTATCGCCTTGCTCTTTCTTTCTTCAAGTCATTTCTTTTGTCTAGTGGCGTAACTAGGCCTGTTGTGTCCGGGGGCACCCGGGTACACACACTTTTTCAAGGGGGCACCAAAAGACAATGAGCTGCAGCAGAGGTTGTTTCCAGATTTCAAAGGGGGGGGGGAGACATTTGTTGGGGGGGCGTGCCCATGTAGTTACGCCACTGCTTTTGTCACAAGCCAAATTTCACATTCGGACTTGGATGTCCTGCACTTGCAAAGAGATCCAGTTGTCTCTGCACTGGCTGTAAATATTCAGTCTATCTTAAACCTCATTCTTGTCAAGTTTTATGAAAAAGTCGCTAACTAATGGCTTCCATTGGTGTGGTATTCAGCAGTTGTGTAACTGTACTTCTTTTCTTTCTCTTATTTAATTGGCTCGTTAATTATTATCATCACTAGGGGGGGGCGCGAACTTTTTCAAGGGGCACTGAATTCAGTTACAAATGTATATGCTTTGTATAATCCTTGGGTACCCAGGGGCATGCACTTCAGCTGGTGGACCACCCCTCCCCCCCCCCACGGGGGCACTGTATTCCCGGCCAATAATTTCGGACATCATTTTGACCTATAATTTTGACTTGCTACGAACTTTTCCTAATTTTATTTCAGCCAAAACGAATGGAATTTTTTGGCGTTCTGTAAACCAATAGCACCTTTTATGACCCCCACAACGAAACGTGTTTCTGAAGAAAGCTTTAACATTCGACTTGATTCAAAGCGACTCTAGTAATTTTCTTATCACACTTCTGAAAGGATGCAAAGAAATTTTACACCAAATACACTTTGTGGCAACGTTCTCTCTTTATCTGAACTGTGTGCAAAATAAGTAGATGATACCCGACAAAACTGTTTTCGAGACCTATGAACCATATACTGCTACAGTGCATCGTGGACCCGCTGGACTGAATTCTTTTGGCGATTTTGTTGAAGTCGAGATTTCCTTGATCCACAATAAGGCCCATTTCAAACCTCGTGCTTATGCCGTGCGAAATGCAAAAAAATGTTTTATTGTATTCGACACGGAATAAGAACGACGTTTGAGCGGGCCTAAGTGTTATTCTTTGGGCGATTGAACGGTACCCGTAAAATGATTTTTCTTAACAAATACAAGTGTATCAACCAGCAAAAACGGTATCCGTAAAATAATTTTTCTCAACAAATACAAGTGTATCAACCAGCAAAAATGGCCCTCGTGATAAGCAGATAGGCATATATAGACAGACAGACTAAAAAACTGATGATCAGAAAAAAAAGCTTATTAAAAGTTACTGTGTATTGAACTTCACTGGATTATCTACTATGGATGCATAAAAATATATCAAGTGGACCCTCTAAAAATCGGAAAGAAATGCTTGAGCGAGCTTAAAGTGCAGAAGTAGCATGTCTTTTCTCTATGGTAGAGGTAAGAGACTGCATAAACCCTCAACTAGATGTATCAATTTGCGTCTGTGCAGCTTGACCACGGAAATCCCGAACGCCGATTGGCCGAATGCGGGGTTTGTGATATACAAGCAACGAGTGCGTAATCCCCATGTACACTGTCTAGAGCCCTTTTTATGTGCCCATGGCACTACTGTGCGTCACCGCGCCGCACGCACTGAAATCGAAGTGTAATTTAGTGTATGCCGCTAATCGCACTGTGGAATTGGCCGTGTATGTACAGGTACATGTACTGCAAGTACTGTATACGTACGAACTAGTGACGAGAGAGCCAGCAGAGTTTGCCGGTCGTTCGGCGGTCAGGCACTCAGTCAATCGGCAACGTGCCACTTGGAACGGTGCCCAGGAATTCCCTGACTAAAAACGTATTGGCCCTTAGCCGAGCCAACCCAACCCAGCTGATCTCCCGGCTCTGAGGAGGAATATCCTCACCACACACTCCGGATTGTTTACGGACCCTTCCCCCATCCACCCACCTCACGCTGCTGATCTGCTGATGAAGTGAATGTGTGATGTTGGTTTTCATGAAAACCTGCAAGATTCTTCAGTCATGTGTATCTTAAATGTAAATACAACGCTATCTGCTGCACTTATTTTGGTTTACTTGGTGTCTGTTCGTTTGGCACAGGGTTTCAACTTTAAATCCGTCCATTGGACAACTCATGGTAAGTATATCCATGTTTTCTCCCTCAATGGTCATGATGGTATATCTTGCAATCTGGTTTTGTTTATGTGGTAGAAAAACTGATTTTTTTTTGGTAATATACTCATCCACTAGCCACTCAAACCGTGTAGACATAAAATTATTGTTGATCAAAAAAGACGCTCCCTTTATCAGTTTATTGATATACTTGTGGTTTTAATTGCATTTTGTTCACACGAAGTAGTTTTAGTAAACTTTGTTATGGACTTGTCTCTGAATATTATGTTTGTAGTTTGATTAAAGTTTTGGCCGCGAAATCATCAAGTCAGTTGAGTGAGGCGTGAAAATCTTGTAGCAATCTTTTTGGTCTAAATGCTGAGCTAGCTCGAATTTTTGCCTACAGCGTTGTTACATAACGCAATCAAGCTTAGCCAAACAACTTCCGATTTGTGGTTACATGGTCTATGGGTTATGTACTTTTATGTGGCTGCTCAATCGCCCAAATGCAACTTAGATTTATGCTACCATGGCTGTATTAATTATACAGTTGGTTTATTTATGCCTACATTGCTTGTGTACGTTTGCTGTAACTCTGAAATGTAATCTGGAATACATAATTATTGCATGGTTATTCCATGGAGGAATAAAACACATCCTACATGGATATTCTCACTTCCAATTGCTGGTCGCGGCTAGTGTGACATCTATGTCGGTGTACAAAATGGAGCGCGCTTGTATGTGTACATGTGCCCACGTGCGAGCCCGCAGCAAGATAATAGACCGCAGATCGTTCTATAGAAACTCACAGGACCAGAGAGTTCATGTGTGGTTCATGGAAGAAATAAAATCCACACGGCACATGGACTACAAATCGCAGGAGCCTGAAGCAAATGGTCCCCACTTCAAACATTATACCGATGGGATTGAACCGTAAATTTTCCCGCCATTTTTTGTTAACATTATGCAGGGCACGTGACGTATTCAAAATGGCTGAAAACCAGAAAACTTTATTGTGTTGCGCGTCATCCCTAAAAATGACCGTGTAAAAATGTCGTCCCGGACTGAAATTTTTCGTTTGTCTTCAAGAATCGTTTTATTTATTTCCAGGGTCGGAGCGGTTGGCGCAGTTGTCAGAATATGAAATTGTGACGCCGGTTCGTTTGGACAGTCGCAATGGGTTACCGTTGCCATCGGACGGAACCACTCGACACTTCGAGAAACGTAGTGCTCGCATTCCGCTCAATTCCGGCCGCGAAGCCGAAGACGATGCTGACCAACCTCAGGCAACTTTCCTGCTAGGAGCGTTCCATCAACAGTTCCAGTTGAATCTGTCGCGGGATAATTCCTTCTTGTCGCCGTCCTTTGTCGTGGAATTTTTGGGGGACGAAGACGACGACGAAGACAGTGCCAGAGAGTTGGATACCAGCGCGCCACTTCACTGTTTCTACCGGGGCGTTGTGAACGGCCAGCCCGCCTCGACTGCTGTCTTCAGCCTGTGCGATGGCATGGTAAGTTTAGTTTTCATGGAGCAAAGAAGTTTAGGGAATACATCTTCATACTCAACCCTTACAGGTATTGTGCTAAATATTTAAGACATGCCGCAAATGCAAGGGTTAGGTTTAACCTCCTTTGCATTCACTGGCTTAGGCCTGTATCACCACCATGACGACCTGAATTAATGATTTGTTGTATTGTTGGAAAACCTTGGAATACGATTAGGGAGGAAATTTTTACACGGTGCGTTTCTTAGGAATATTTGCCTCACTGTACATGAATTGGGAATTGTAAAGATTCATAATAGCAGTTTAAGTCCCAATTAAATGTGTAGAATTCCTGTTCGATATATAGTGGTGGGAATGAGAACTATTGGAAGTTTCCTGTAAGCTTGCAACTTGGTTGCCATACAAAGTGGCCTCAATTGCTTCATACATACACATGCACTTTTAATCAGCGTTTTCCCACACGCATAGTGAAGAAGTTCTCATAAAGGGGAAGGTTTGGGTTTTTCTGCATACCATTTGCAGTGTGTTCATCTCTGGTTCATTTTTGCCTTGGGTTATTGGGTATAGACCTGTTAAAAAAGCTGAAACGGCATCATTTTATAGACTTAGAATTCAGACTCAGCATAGAATTTTCTGTGTGTGTGACAGAAGTATTTAAATACACAGATTTGTTCTGCACAGTATGTTATATACACCACTTGTGTGTGGTAGCAGTAGGTTAATCAATGGTGGCCATTTCCTCAGCTCTATGGTCGCAGACACATTCTCACCAGTTCAAAGACAAAACTTCCTCTGAGTCTTAATAAATGAAAGCTCAATACACCTGCCGGACTTGTTCAACTTCCTCAAGACGTGAATCACTGTTAACCTTTTAAGGCTTGACCGACGTTACAACCAAGTGTTTGCAGCATGTGGTGTCAGAATTATATCCAGTGAGGTAATACAGCTATGACGGCAGAATGGGATTATTAAGCAGTGTCTAACTCTCCCTGCCGCTGTACCATCACTATTTTTTATGTCAGAACTGAGCATGGTGTATTCCCAATTCCTGTTTAATGAAGAAAATATGAAGGAAAAGAAATTTACAATTACTTGTACCCCATTTATGAATCCTAAATTATTGTTGGTAACTATTTTGCCCAGGATGTAATTACAATGTCCTAAGTTTTTACCTGTTACATGAACAGCTCTACTTCAACTAGATACCCTCATCATGCACACAAATTTTTGTGTAGGGCTGACTAGAGATACAGTGTCCCTGCGCCAAAGATATTGTACGGTACACAGATTCTGCTTGCTGTTTAGAAAATCACTGTACAATGAACAAATGCACACAGAAATGGATATTTCACATGGATTAATCCTTGCACTTCCAAGATATTTGTGAGGTAAATAAGACTTAAAGGTGTATTTTACAACTTTATTGTCTGTGAACTTCGCATGACCTTGCAGGACTTCCAAGCCCTAAGGCTATTTTGCCACTGAATTTACATCCCCAGTGAACAACCTGAAAGAGCAAACAAAACTTGTCATATAACGGTGGGCGCCAGACCTGCACTGATGACTTGATCCATTTGGTAGTTTTAGTTCTCACGCCTTCTCAGAATGCGTATGATGTAAATCACTGAGACTGAGATACATGTAGGTCTGATAATTACGAGGTAAATTTCAGTATGAAATTCAAAGTAATTGGTTTGGATTGAGAGATCTAAGTGGGACATCAGTAGGAATGGCCACTTAAATATACATCTCAAAAAGGGGCCTGAATCTTTCATTGCCACTCTTTTAAGACTTAAGGATTGGCACCTGCGTCATACCAATGCTCTATAAGGTTAGTCACACTATGGTGTCACCACAGAGTAATAGGGGTCTCATAACTGTAGCCTCTTGATACTGTTGTGGTTTAACCTTGAGTGTGTCCCCACAGAGGTTGATAAAGTCCTATTATATAAATCTCACTTTGGCAAATTGTAATTTGTTACTTGGCAGAATTAATTAACAAACTTTATTGGACACAAGTGGTTGCCACATGTTATCACTTTGCCCTGAGATGGTACTGGACAGAGAAATTCAAAGGATTTCCAGTTGGTTTCGAGATCTTTTATAATCTATTGTGAAGTTTGGTAACATGAATAACTGTGGTCAACCTGGTCATCAAATTTTATGATTTTCTTTTATGACAAAAGCCAGCTTTACTACATTAATCACCAGCCCCATGCACACTCTTATGAATGCAAGTGATGGCCATATGTTATTAACTACTTTAAATAAATTTATGACTTTTGTCCCGAGACTTCTGACCTTTTCATCTAATATTTGATGGCACAATTACCATCATGAGTGAAATACTTTGCCAGTGGCTGAAAGTAGTAGATTGCCTTGAAACTTACAAATATGTGTTTTCAGCCTTGGTTAGGATTCAGAATAGAATGCATATATTGAAAGCAGTAGATATTTAAAATGTAATTTCGACTTACATATTTAACCTTTCTAGTGTTTTAACTGTCAAAAACAGTCAAAAATGCCGTCCAATGGATTTCCCTCAGTACCCAGACACGTATGGCAAATTTGACTGATTTTGACTGATATGATAACTGTGTCAAGAATGTATCAAAGCATAGGAGGGTTGAAGGACTGGGACTGTTCATGATTTACTGGTCAATCGCATATAAATACTACTAACTGAACCAACTTTTTGTTTGCTTTGATTTCAAGTTTTATACAGCAGCGTTATGACCTAAATAATATACCCTTGGAAATGACAAATGTAAACAGAGTGTTCTTAATTGTAAATATTTACCAACTCCCTGTAGGTCAGTATGCAAGAAGAATGAAATGGTTTTTGCCAAGTTTACCATGTCATCCTAGCCACAGTTTTCTATTATTGGGCATTTTTTTAAAGTGCTGGTGACTGCAGCTTTCCAAGTGCTAGATGTTATCCAACCGTGCTTAGTTGAGAAGTAACGAAACAAAGGAAAGTGCTGGTGTGTAATGTGGGGCATATTCCTATTATTCAGTAGAGCAGACATGGCAGTGAAAAATCTTAACAGACTAAAGCTTTGAGAATTACAAGGACGATTTCTTGGGTGGTAGACAGATAGCCCGTTAACGTTGGATTTTCTTACCAAAAAGAACTGCTGGGGACGGGTTTTTTTTACCTGTAAATTCTTCAACCTTGCAATTGCGCTTTGACCCACCTAAGCATAACGCGCTCATATGTCAACTACTGAGCTCAAACCTGAGTCGACCCAGAGACCGCGGAAGTGGAAAAATAATTCTTAAACGAGTGCACATGTCCTAAATAAGGAATATTATGTGTGTTCTTCCAGCGTCAAGTGGTTGCGTGAAAACTGCTGAAGGAAAAATTGAAAACCTGGAGGGTGGGAGGGTGGAGCAAGGAGTGGAGAAATAAAGTTGGTAGGTTGGTCAAAGCACTGGGCTTGTACCTGGTAGTTCACTGCCTGCATTGTGCTTAGTGATAAGGTTGTCAAATTGGTGAGGTGTAATACACTGTGATATTGATGAAAGTGTACTTTCTAAAATTAAATCTGAATTGAGCTCTCAAGAAAACAAATTATTTGGTTAAACCCTATCCAGCATGGACTATTTCAAACCCCAGAAGGGATGCAGTATTTTGTTGAACCCCTGGAAGATTCCACTTCTTCAGATGAGGGAAGCGCAAGACCTCACATTGTGTATCCGACGACAGCTCTCCAGGATTTGAATAAGAATTCTGGTTGTGGATTGACTGGTGAGTGATTGAATTTTTGTGCAATTAGATTAGCTGTTTTTCTGTTTTGATTTTAAAAAATGTATAATCTCCTGGTATGAAGTAGTTTTTTGGACAAAATAATTGTATATGTATAACACCATAACACCACTTGTTTTAGAAAAACTGGAAAAGAACCACTGCAGTTAACAATGCATTTCAGTTTAGCAATGAATGTGGTTAAAATCCACCCTTCAATGTTTTTGTTGATTTTTATCTGAGAATGTCACTTTGGAAAATGTTTGAAACCGTTTTCAAATCTTATCCGGCATTACTAAGGTGTTCTATATTCATCATTGATGTCTACCACTCTTCTTTACAATTTACAACACAGATTATCATCTGGCTCAGTTCAAAAGTTACTGATTGACCATCCAGTTGATTAAACAGGGGATTTGTTCCAAAAGGTTGACTATTAAAAGAGGGATTTCTCTTTTTCTTTAATCTACCGTAATCCTATTAGGGACTGAGGTTGATCTCATTATGTGCTAAAAGGTGGTTGAGCTCACTGCTTTCTAAATGCTCGTAGACTTATAGGAAACAGGTTTCTTTACTCAGAAATGCAAAATTGCCAGATGCCCTTTGATTGGGAAAATCCCTTGCTCATTTCAGCTCATCTTCAGGAGTGAAATTGCATTCGGTGTATTGGTACTCCTGAACAGTGTGACTCCTAGGTTGAGAGGTCAGGATTTTTTAAGCAGGACTTTGGTGGGGTAGTGGTGATCCATTACTCGCAAGGCATTTTGTCTGTTGGAAAAGGGAAGCCTTTACCATTCAGGAAATCAGTGATATATTTTCATTACTTTAACTTCACAGGGTTATCATAGAGATGCCACTTTTCCGATTTTAATCGGGAATCCGACTTTTTCTTATTTTTCTCCCCAAATCCGATTTTTTTTACATTTCCCCCTTCAATGTTTTCAACATTGACAAAATTAGATAAAGAAGAAAAGACTGGAAGCAAATCTATGATGCGCAAATGTCCTGCGCCACGCGACTGGGTATTTGATCTTGTGAGCAGTTGTCAGTAGAGTGCTTACGTCAGTCATATTGTGGTGCGAAATATGAAGGACAGTGTTGAGTGGTGTCGTCAGTAACTGGAAATAGGCTAGTGGCATCTCTGATATTGAGTCACTTGTAAAGCAGTACTTTACTTAATCCTACAGAATCCTCCAAAGAGTTTGAAGGATCTGGGAGTGACAGGTTTGTCAATTACCAGTGATTTCTTGTAATCCAGCACTGACTCCATACAGCAGTACCAAGGCTTCCTGTGGACCTGGCTCCTCACCAATAGATTGAGACTAATTCCTCAATCAGAAACTGTTTCAGAATACTGTTTACATGTATATGAAAACAGTCAGTGTTTGCATTAAAAAGCGAAACTGAAGGATGTGTGTTGAAATATGAGGAAGAAGCCTGCATCCTAGAGCTTCAGTTGATTTAAATATTGCATTACCACAGGTTTTGGCCCTTGTGACAACTACGTGGGATTTGGCCCCAAGTTGACTTGTGTGCAAGTGTAAATTCCAGTATGAAACCATGGAACAGTTTCTGGGTTGACTGAGGTTTGAGCTCATTGGAGTCAGACAGGACATGGAGTCTTCAGATTTGGGGCTTCAGTGACTCAAGCGTGCCCTTCCTTGGGTTCCTTGTGGTATGACCTACTTGCATTGTGGCTATGAAGTGTATTGGAGTCTCTGGGAAGATGTTAAATGGAATTAGAATAAAGGTGGTGATAAAACACGCTGGGTGCAAGAGACGGTTGTTTTCTTGTTTTTGGTGAGAGCACACAAATCATTGTGTGGCTTGCACAAAGGCGCTTCTTAACATGTTGTTGGGATGCTGTGTCTTGCAGCTGGGGTCACTCGGTCAGCAGAAAGAAGTTAACTAAGTCACAGTGTTGGTTTTGAAGGCTGAGTGAAAAGTGGAAGGGGTGACACCGAAAGTAAATGGCTGTTCACACTGTTTGCGACTGGCCAGAATAATTGACCCAAACAAAACCAGGGTGTACTGTAGGATAGTACTGTAATATAGAAGTATGGCTGGTGTTTGCTGAGTCAGGACTGGCCCGATACTGCCTCCCCATGCCAGGTCCCAGTAGCCAACTTCCTGCACCATGGGAGGCAAATTGGACCGATATTCAAGAGCATTGAGGCTCTCCGAGTGTGCGAGCATGCATGCAGCGTTACGTCTCCTGTTTTTCTTTGTCAAGAATTAACCCCCGAGTTCACGCAATAAAAAGAGGAATGTATGTAGTTTTGTTATGTTAGTGGATTTTTTGTGAAATGCAGAATCTTGATTTCACAGACTTGAAGGCTTATGTAAAACAAAAATTAAAAGCATTATTCTTTTACATCTTGTTCCATTATTCTTTAAAACTAATTGAAACTGTGACGGGAGACGCCTTTCTTACCCTGCGCTTGATCTGACCTTGGTGTGTGGTTTGTAGGACTGTGTTACAACATTTTTATTAGTGAAAAGGATCATACTTTAGGTGCAAGTACAATGTGGAGAGTTACATGTATGTCAGCTTGTTACCTAAATCACAGTGCTGAGTAATTTATGAATCTTGTACTTCTGTGGCCTGTACAAATACTTTTACATTGTACCTTGATGTACATATTAAATGGTGGTACCAGGTTGCAAGATGACAGTCAGAAATGTACCTGAAGCTGTAAATGGTCAGATACACGTAAGCTTCTATTAAAAATTTGGTAGTAGATACATGTATGATATAATTTCACTTCTCATCTGTTGTATATTTGTCCAAGCTACTTGGCCAGAGTGGCCTCTTGCCATTCAACTTCATAGATGGCCAAAATCTGTCATCACTGGTAATGCTGTGTTTTCATGTTTACACAGAGGAGGCAAAAGGGGCCATAGTGCTCCAGAAGATGATGTAAAGACAAGACGACTGTAGAGATCATGTTTATTATTGTTCACAAGAAAGGTTTGCTAATGCAGAGGTGACCACAGAGTAAGGGGTGGGGGGAAAAGAATGCCACCGGAAGAAGCATAGGGTTGGTTCATTCCTATGTCTAGGTGCGCCATGTTCAGTTTGCCATTTTTGTTCCAGGTCTCATGCATTCTCAAATCATCTGTAATGCGTAGTGTATTTACTCAACAACATAAAAGGAACATTGCCTCATAGACTAATATTTAGTTTAAATAATCAGATTCATCAAACTGTAGTTTATATTTTTAAATTATATATAGAACATCTGCAGGAGAGTAAAAAGGTCACAGTTAACCACATGTGTGGGTCACCTGCAGTCACCTACACAAGTCCTGTGTGCCAGCTGACTTTGGACACACACATAGAGTGAACAGTTTGAACCAATTAAATTGAATGCATCTTTAGGTAATAGTGAGTGAAAATCCCAAATTAACTTACGATTTAATCTGCAGATTTCTTCAAATTTCCCCAATTTGAATTTGTGAAAACAGAAAGCTAGAGTTTCCTCCAGTCCAAAGAATTAATTTTACTTCCGACAGCACAAATCATAATCCACATGGGGTATTTGTAAGTTCCTGATAAAGAAGCCTAATTCTTTTATTAGAATTAGGCCTAATTCTTTTATCAAGTGGCATTTCTATGATGAGGTGGAACCCTGATTTTTCAGTGGAAGTGAACAGTGAGAAGGTGTCAGGGGACCAGCCCTGGAGGACAGTGAGTGAGAGGTTGCAGCCAGTGTATCAGGTGTTGATATTAAGTTCAGGGCTCCTTGTACTTGAGCCTTGGCCACTCCTTTAGTCTTGGATACTCGATTTCAGGTCTGTCTGAAAGATTCAGAAAACTGCCAGTGGGGGGGGGGTGAATGCATGCATTGTTTTATAGGATAATGTTGGAAATATGACAACAACATTGTGCAGTGTAGATTTTTAAACATCAGCTAGCACTTACTACATAACTGGAAAGCAAATCATTTTACCTCTACTTTGATGCCATGCTGTTTTAATTAACAAGTACCTGTATATGCCCATGTCTCATTTTTACCTTTTTGATGGGGGAGGCAAAATACACAATGTACTCTGTTGAAAGTAACCTAATTTGTGTTCTTGAATAAAAATGTTGAGGTTTTTCCAGTGATAATGTTCTTGGCAGTAGTATCATTTAGGAAATTGAAATAAGACTGATTGTGAAAAAGGGGATAACTGCAGGGTTGTGTCCGCCCCGAGCGGAAGTGTACCCCAGTCAGCGAAAAGAAAGACAGGTGGTTGCAAGCGAGTTCTTGCATACGTTGTGCGTGTACACAAAGACCATACATGCCAGAGTAAATTAGTTACGCATATTCAGCATGCTCCTCGTCAAACGCGCATATACTTGTGCACCTCATGGCGCGCCTATGCGGTGAGTATGCAGATAGTATCTTGATTTGGCCTGTTGTACACACAGTGTAGGGACCTCTGTTGCACAAGCATGTTCCACATGTGCATTGAACGTGAAAGATGCACTTCATCTGCTGTGGTTCAGTGGTAAATTTTACCGGTAAAGATCTGAGGAATGAACTGAAATGAGAAAATATATTGAAGGGAGTAGAGCTGAAAAAAGGAATTGTGTGTTATGTGCATAGAACAGAATAGTTTGTCTTGCCTGTAAAGGCAGGCATATACAATTGTTGCACTTAAAGTGAACCCTGCCGATTAAAAGCAGCAACAATTCAAACAGCCCTAAACCTGTAAGAAAACAATGGTTCATTGTTTGTCAAGGCCTGTGTCTGTTCTGCATGGCCCCCCAGCAATGCAAAGTCAAGCTTGCATGAAGGTTCAATCCCTCTGATACCAAACTGGATGTCTTCTTTTGTAACAGCTGTTCAAAAAGTACATCTAGGGCCTACTTGAACTTCATACTTTTAAGTATTCCATAGAATTTGCAACGCTAGGGCATATTATTTGTCAAAAGTTAGGCCTAGACTTTAGAGATCAAGGACTTTTAACTCAAGGTAGTGACAAATGGAAAAACTCTAAAATCTTGATCTTAC